CGGGAGGAGACGGAAGGAGGGGGGAGTGGTTAAATAGAGACACGGATTTTAACCATGGTTACAAAATAAATTGACCGTGGTTAAAAGTTAAATAATTGCGGGGCTAGCCGCTACCCGCTAGGGGTTTTTGCATGGAGGGGATCGTGGGTGTCGTTTCCGTTAAAATCGGATTCGGATTCGGATTCGAATTCGGATTCGGGCCGGGAGGGCCCACCCACTACCCACCACCATCTCTCCACCTCATTTTTAAAAGGGTATTTCGGGGAATAATGACCACGTCTGTACGTCAACCAATTCAGGTGTTTCTTTTTTCTCCTTTTTTTCAAAAATTCATACTTACATAAATATGGAAAAATCTAGAACTCCCCTGAATTCCAAATATTTGACCCATTTTCTGCACATTTGATTAATGCAATTTATTACAAAATTTTAAAATTATGAAATTCATGCTAGTTGAGTTGTCGTCGTTGTTTTTTCTTTTTTAAAAAAAATATTTGTTATAGAAATGATGGGTTATGAATATTTACATGTTTAATCACTTTAATATAAAAAATGATGAAGCTTTGCTTGTGAACTTTTAAGATCTTATCGGAAAACATATAGAAGTCGAAAAAAGAGAAATAGTTTTACTTGTTATAGCAATTACAATTTATTAAACTTAGCAGATAGACTATGATATATTTAATTCTTTTATACATATTCTTAACCAATATAGTTTTGGCTTGGTTTTGATTTTTTGGCCTGATGAGAGAACCAACTAAAAAATTGAAATTGAACAACAAATTTGATTCAATTCTCAAGTCTAGAGTTGAAATTTGAATATGAGAGACAATAACATAAACGATAAAATCAACATGAACGTAATTCAACGAGTTGAGACAACTATTTTCAAGATGATGTTATATTAAAATATATATATATATATATATATATATATATATATGAAAAATGGTAAAAAAAAAAAGAAAAATTGAAGAGGGGAGGAGGGGGTAGAGGAGGCATTGTGTGTTGGTGATTCCAAACAGTAGGGAAAAGATGGCAGCGTTCACGAGTGTACTAATTTTAATTCAGAAGATTGATTCGCCAGATCTTTATTTCCCTTTACGAATTTTATTTCCTTTTCTTTTTCGACGAAAAGATATTTTTCCCCTTTTTTCTACAATATAATATTATGTGGGTTTTATTTTATGCTTACATTTTTGGATTTAATAGAATCTCTTTTATACCCTTCAGATATTGAATGAATAGTTTGTCTTTTATATATCACTTCTATCTAACCATTAACCAACCACCATATTTCTCTCACTCCCATTAAAAAAAAAAAAAAGAAAATCATTTTGTTTTTCAGTCCTCCATTGGAGTTTTCTTTCTATCCTTTTTCTTTCTTCAAAAGTAAAATTTCCATAATACCACACCCTTGTGTTTCTCTATTTTCCTTACCCTCTCTTTAGTTGCTAATGTTCAAAGTTTAGTGAACCCTAATTAATTTTTCATACGAGTTTTTTCTTTGGTTCATTTGATAACGTTTAAGAAATGTTTCTAAAAATTGTTGTGTAGAAATTTTGAAAATAACAAAATCAAATTTATTGTTTTTTTTTATAGATGTCTTAATACTAAATTGGTTGCACGACAAAAATTGGTTGAAATCATTGTGATTGACTGCAAAATTAAATAACATAAAAGTCCAAGGACAATGGGCACCATAGAGCATAAAAAGATTGCAAGCATGCCCTTTGATTCCATTCTTCCATGGACTATAAGGGCATGCCAAAGGAGAAAATATTGAGGGTTGGAGGATTGGCATGCAAGAGTAATTTTCTACGAAAGAGACGTTGAATTCGTGTCATTCTTTAAATTTGATCCTAGAATATTTAGCTCAAGATAACATTCGAGATTTTGCAAGATTTTATAAGAGTATATAATTAACTAAAACAACTCGTCGATGAAACATAATAACTTTACTAAAATGATAAGAATCCTAAAAAAATAGATAGGTCCAAAGAGTAGATATTAAATCAGATTCCAAAAAAAAGGGTAAAATTGAAAGCCCTCTTAGCTTTTGCAGTTTGACCTCTAAGTGTCATATCAATCGGCCATTATTGTTATAATTTTACATCGTCCTTGGATATTTTGGTAGTAACATTAACGTAGACCACATACACATGCTTTCCTCTGTTCTTTTTTTTTTTTACTTGTACTAAATATTCCCAAAAGACATCTCACACATTTGTCGGTTGGCTATCATCTTTCTTACTGGTACATGCATTATTTGCTATGAATTCTAGAGCTCAACGATACACAACGTTCTAATATATGATATCATATTAAGTTATAGACTAAGATATATTTAGTCTTAATATATCCTTAACACATGTGTAAAAGAAGGTTTGACAATTTCATGTAAAATCTAATCTAAGCTCCAACAAACTCTCAAACCATCTTGATTTAACACAGTTATACACGAAAAAGAACATATTTATTCTTACTATAAAGTTTTCACAAATTATTTAATGAAAACCTAACGTACATACATGCTTTTATTATTTAAGTGATGGTAAATATGTCTACTAGACAAACATTTGCCACCACAATGAAAGGAAAAAAATTCCCCAAAAAAATTTTAAGAGTTCAAAACTCAAACTAGAATATTTGAAACTTTAAGAATTATAACAAATAACGTAAAAATTTAAGGTTAAATTATTTGATCCATGAATTTTCAAGATTGTCCGATCATAAATTCTCAACTTTATGGCTTATGAGTAAGAGATCATTGAGTGTTAAAAGTGTCTACGATGTACTTGAACTTTTAATTTTTGTGTCTGAAAGATTCCTAACCTATTTATAACTTATTTGAAATTCATATATCTCTTAGAACAAAATTGAATTTTGTGTCTAATAATATCTCAACCTTTTAATTTTGAGTTTAATAAGTCTATAAATTAAAATAGTAATAATAATAATAAACCGAACATCAAAGGTTTATTAAATGCAAAATTAAAAGTTTAATGGCATAGTTCACACTCTTAACACAATTCTAGAAGTTAGTTCACACTCTTAATACAATTCTAGAAGTTTGAGACTTTTATTTATTTATATTTTTTTTAGTAGAACAAATCTGAAAGATTCGAGTCTTCGAGAATGTTCCTTTCGATCTATATATTTTTAAAAGTTGACCAATTTTGGTTTCTATGTACAAAAACTAACAAAATTTTCTAGAAAATGTAAACCATTTAATACAATTTTATGATTATGTTAAGAAACTTGGCAAGTAATGCGTCGATGATAAAAAAAAAAAAAAAGAGGAGAAAAACTGAATGAAGCAAAATGGTCAGTTTTTAAAATTAAGACATTTAAAAAGTATAAAAACTATAGAAAACAACAAAAATTCAAAATGCATAGACCAGAATCCGTGTTTTGAAACTAAATGAATTTGGAGAAAAGTAGAAATAGGAAAATAGTATTTAAACTAATAAAAGAAAGGGAAAAGTCAGGGGAAGGAGAGAGGTAAAAGTAGTAGTAAAAAACACAAGTGTGAAATGTGAAATGTGAAGTGTGAAGAGATTTGAGTTCCCAATGGGCTATGGAAAACAGAACTGAACAGAGAGAGACAAGAGTACGGTGAAGGGCAGACAGCTAAACCCTAGATGGAGGAATGGTATGGTCAGGTATTATTCAGAGAGTGAAAAAGTAATTCATGTATAGTCACCACTGTCTAGTGTGGCCAACATAACACAGCACCCATTACGGCGCCGCTTTGTCTCAACCTCATAATCCGACCATTCTTTTCCCTCCCTTCCCTCATCGTCCCTTTCCACGCCTCTCACTACGCCCCCACCACTCATTTTTTCAGCTCGTGTTTTTTTCTTCTTCATCTTTTGAGTACAACAAGTGAAGTAAGAGATTCGAAGAATACAACAAGTGAAGTAAGAGATTCGAACTTACGACTTTTTGGTCAGAAATAGGGGCCAATTATTCTAAACTCATTTGGCATCTTGTATCATATTTAAATAATGCCAACATGACTAACAATAAATATGTCCCTACTCTCACTATACTATAAAGTTTCACTTAATTTTTAAGAAAATAATATTTAGGTATTTATCCAAATTTTGATATCATTTAAGAACAGAAAACATACCTCATTTTTGGCATCTCTCTCGCACATTGGTAAAAAATTTAACGGTGTTCGATAAAAAAATGGATGCTACACCTAAGTATTTTTCATTCTTTAATGCTACTAGACACCACACCGTTCTTAAATATTACTGGCATGACTGGTAATGAATGAGAACATCTATACGCTACTAGAAATTTCTCAAGGAAAAGATATTTGTTTGGATAAAAAAGTGTGGAAGAAAGTGGGATTTTTTTTTTTAGAGAGAAATGTGTTTCCCACTTTTTATAAGCCCAAAAATTATTCCACAAAATAATTCATCTTCTTCAAGTTTTTTTAAGAGAGAAGAGTAAAAGAGATTTTTTTTAGAGAGAGAGATGAACACAACAGTTTGGAGGTTTAATTTTTAAGATTAAGACTTCGTGGAAACTATTATATAATCACTATTAGTTCAATGTGTGTCAAATCATAACAAGTGAAGACCCTACTGTCAATAATGCACAAGCCTAAAAAATAGATTTGCTAAATGAATAATATAGAACGCTGGGTCATCTCAAAGTCAATAATGGTTGTTACATACCTTAACTGGAGAACATTCTGATGACATCCATGAACAACAAAGACACCAACGTGAGCTTGTTGGGCTTAATCACCAGACTTTGATATGAATTATCAATCAAACCTGTTGTAAGTTGAGATTCAAGACCCAAAAACAGCTGAGAAACGCAAGTGGTTACAATGCGAACTTTAGCACCAGAAACATAGTTATGTAAAGTAGCAACTTGCAAGTAAACAGGAAGCGGGTTCTGGTTAATTTAACACCATCATCTTACTGTTGAAGCAACGTTCGCTTTAGGAGATGGAGGTGCAGGAACTATGCCCCATTTAGCTCGCACTTCGTCCAAATCCTCGTGGAAGTGTCGCTCATAATATACACACATGAGATCTGTGCACTGCATGCCAGCACGCATGGCCCAAGGAAAGTAGTGCTGGAAGAACAATTTTCTCTGTTTGTCATTGAATCTTGCTGTGCCTCCCAAAACAGACAGCATGCACATTGGAAGCTGCATTTGTCCAAATTCAATAACCTTCAATGCCGATTCGCCAATCAAGTTAGTGGGAAGACCAAAAAGGGTGTGCCAGAAGTCATGAACCTCACGAGCTCGCATGGCAACATACTCCAGTTCGTCGGTGTCCATGAATCGAACAGGAGGCCGGTCATCAGGAGAAAAGTTCCTGGAACCCATAAAATTAGCATATGCAGCACCAAATGTGTTGGATGGAAGGTCCCATGCGTGTCCAACTTCTGATGATAAGACACGTGGTCGCTCCAACAATACTGCCTGAAGAAGAAATTTCTTTGTTTAACATTCAAATGAACGAGTTACGAGAGCTAGTGCATGATTAAAAAAAAAAAAAGGATTTTCAAGACATTCGAGTCATCCAGCAGATGAGAAATAAATTTAGCAAGCTGGCCTACAAGGAACGTCTCTTAAAACATTTTATCTCATTCGGTACAAGTATCGTACTATAAAGGAAAGAACCGAGCCCAAATGACAACACCATCTCAGAATAAAAATCAATTGCGGTAGAGTAGGGAATGAAAGAAACTAATTGTAAACCATTCATCTGAAATAGTAGATTGGAGGGTGGTCCGATTTGTTATAAAGTTTCTCATTCTATGTAGAAAATTCAGTTCGTTAGAAAGTTACGGTAGAAACCAAAGAACTATATTGAAAATTTATAGAATAAAGAAAAACAGAACGATGTTTTGGAAAAACATGGAGAATTGAAAATGAGCAATAAGAGGGCAATAAGAAGGCATCATTACAGATACAAAAAAGATATGATATAGATCTTGCAGCACCATATTCCATTAGGAGACTTGTAATTGATGTGTCCAATAATGTCCATCAAAATAGAAACAGGTAGCTAAAACAAATACCTTTAAAGTTTTTCATATCAACCAATATGATTAATTGTCATCCCTGCGTGTCTAGATTTGTCTCTTGCATTGCCCAAATGTAAACAAAATTGAAAAAAGAAATTATAATTAAAAAAAAAAACTCCAAACCACATGTTCTGGAGCATGTCCAACACTAACACTTCGGTCAAAATAGTGTGTGTTTCCAAGGGAGGAAACGAAGACTTGGTGCGGGAAGAAAGGAATGAGCATAACTCAGCCCAATCACAAGATCCAATAAGAATACACAAGATAAACAACTCAACAAATTACAAGAACCAATTCAATTTGATAAGGCAAAATAACCCATGTTGTTCCTGCAGCACTCAAAGAAAAGTAATTTCAAAATTTGAACATGATAACCATTATATTTAAAGATAAAGAAAATTCATTTTATTTTGTATTCTTAATCATCTTAAATACAAACATATAAAATTTTTCATTTCCATACAAACATATCAAACATATCAAATTTGACACTTGCAGATGACAAAGGAATATGAAACATGGAAACATGAGATTTTATAATTAAGAACTTACTCTGCCTTCGGCACTCTTTTTCATCCTTTCAAGGACCCTTTCAAAAGCAGGCTTTCCAGTTGTTTCCCCAAGAGCTGCTATTAAGTCTGCTCGCCGTGGATCTAGCAAGGCACCTACTGCCGAACCAAGTGCAACTGCTGCTTGCTGCCATCTATTGAGCTGGACACGTACACCACCTGCCATATCAAATGCTACTTTTTTTGTTCTATTTTTAGGATGGCGACTTTAAGAAACTATGCAATTTGATATGATAAGGATAACTTAAAAACCATAATAGTGCTTTATTGTTGAGGAGCATAAGAAAATGTAGTTTACTCGATACTTCACCAATGGACAAACGGTACCTCCAAAATTGGGCTATTTGTTCATCCAAAGTTCTATATAATACTTCAACAATCAAAATATAACAATACACAATACCAAACATAAAGTTATATGAGAACTAAATAAAGCCTAACTAGTTAGAAGAGTTAGAAGAGATCACGTCTGTAGCCAAGAGAGAACGAATATAAAATTAAAAGATAAGCAATAGCTTTTAACAATATTTTAATTCTTTAGGAAGCACTTTTCCTCACACTTACCATACCTCAATTCTGAAACTTGCCAAAATAGAGAAAAAATGTGTCATCTAAGAGTGGGATTTTATAGAAATATCAAGGATTTTGGCATCAGAAAAGTCATCTACTTCAGGATCAAAATTAATTTTGCTTAAATGGATGCCTAATCATATTGCAAGTAACCTCTCTCTTTTTGCGTGTTGTACCAATCTTATGAAATGTCTACGAGATGGCAGATAGGCGGTCTGATTTCAATAGACTACATGACTAAGGGTAGACACGAACATCAGAATACCATCTAAATGTAGACTAAAGACAACCATCTGCTGAAATACTATCCTCCTAACCGAATATCAACATCATAACATCTCGTAGCCTTATCTTTGCAACATAACACCAAATTACTCAGTTGCTAACATGATTGTAAAATATTATCCTATAGAGAGAACTCCACTATATCCGCAATCGATCAGTTCTCGGTAAATTGTTCGAGATTCCTCGAATCAGTAATATGAGTAAATAATTCGTTATTACGTAACTACTATTACACTCTAGAACACCGATGTTGAGAAACATGATATTACCCCTAAATCAATGAGGAAATCAAAATTAAATAAGAAAAAACTAATAATATTTGAGTCCGACACTAATCCAACGCTGAGAATTGTCGAAACAAGGCCGCAAAACATTCAAGGAAACCACAATCAACTTGGAAAACCCGAACCAAATCGATAGATAGATCAAGTAATCAGATGATTGACTCGGTTGAGCATGTAGCACCAAATCTCACAAACATATTCATATTTCACGCAAAGACGAGTGGTTTCAGAGAGGACGCTAATGCAGTCATTACGATTGGAAAGATAATCAACTTATAAATATCTCTGTTGGTGCGGCTAAAATGAAAGCGAAACAAAATGAAACTTGATTACCTTTCGAGTAATTCTTCAGATGAGATTTAATCAGAGCCTGGAGAAATAGAAAACCGACGTTCCTTTTTGCGACTCGGAGATAATTCTGTGAGAATCAGAGAGCGGAGATTTCAGAACCAACGAAATGCTACAGAGGGAAAAGCGGGTACGGGTTGGATTGGATCGGGCCGGGTTTAGGAGATTCTTTTTGGACCAATCCGGCCGGTTTCTGCTACCCGAGAGACCCGATTCAACCGCCCAAAACACAAGCAGCATTACATTTATATCGAACATTTTTTTACTAGGATTGAAAAGTAAAAATAAAAAAACATTTTTTATATATATAAAGAAAAAGAAAAATGATCCTATTGAGCCCAATTTCGCTCCACCCAAGAGTCTACTAGAGTTTAAGCCCATGGGCCTCAAGGCCCGTATAGTTCTCGCTAATGGGCTTGCTCCAAATTTGAGTTGGATTTGGTTATGATTTTAATTGCGCCATGCAAACATAGGAAGAAGTTTACAGTTAATTGTAAATTTATAACTATTTTTATGATTTGTAGATATAGAAAAAAACTAATGTCCAACCCAAATAAAAAAATAGAAAAGTCTATTGTACCGCTATACCTCAGTGATATATTTTATATTAATTTATTTCTTGGATTCATTTTCTCCTCTATTGCGTTTTGAAAATTATTAGGCCAAGTTTCAATAAAATAATATATGACGTTGAATTATAAAATGGTAGAAAATATGATATATAATAAGACGCTTATTAAGAGATTGTAGAAGACGAAAGCATAACCCTACCTACATTATTAGAATTGACAAACAATTTAATAAAATACCAACAATATATTCATTAATATTAGACATTAAAAGTAAATTTATGCTAACTTTGACCTAGAGTGAACAACATTATCACATTAACTCAAGTATTTATACATATATATCTTTAGAAAATGAGAGATTTTATTGTTTGTATCTCTGTTTGGAATATATCATCCTACAAAAAGTGGGAGAGAGAATTTAAACATATAAGAGGAGAGATACTAATAAATAAAACAAACTTTTTTTTTATTGCACAGTGAAAAATAATGGGTGCTCAAAGTCATGACTCATGATTATTTGTTTTCTTTAATTTACACACCTTTTAACCTCTCTAGCTCTTTTTTCTCTTTTTTTTTTCCCTAAGGAAAAAAAACAAAAAGAAATAGTTACCGAAATTCGTACATAAGCTTTTAATAAAGGATTGGATTAATTGTCCGCAAATCAAGGCTCAATAACACGTACCACTGCCTCCCTTTCCCTTCTTTATTTATGAGTCCGAGTGAAACCAATAAGAAAAAACAAAAAAGGAAAAAAATATTTTTTTTAATATGTCCTCAATTAGAGAAGTCGTAGTTTAGAATCCTTCGCCTCTGCATGTATTATTAGAAATTTATTGGGTTGACTATTATTATTAAAATTTTGATAGTATTTTAATTGTGTGAACAATAGAAAATTTATTTTTTTTATTAGGATATTATTTTGACGGTGATTTTAAAAAATCAATTATACTAAGATAGAATATYCTTTTTCAAAATGACCGAACAATATTTTTATTTTTAAATTACAARACACATCCTTTGGTTATAYATGGACCCTCCACTCACTTTTAAATACGCCCCACCCCCATGATTATAGGGACTTTTCTTCCCTCCACATCCCATATTAATATTTTAAACCCCTAGCCTTTTACAACCCYATTTGATTTCATCCCTCTTTTCTTCCAATAAAATATACTTTTTCATCTTTATACTTTAATATTTCTCTATCTATATATATAGATTTTTATTTTATTTTACTTTGTAACGATTTAGTTTTGACTTTTTTACAAACATACCTTGCAATTAAATTTTTGAGTTAAATTTTTGCTTTTAAGTAGTAACTTGTGTGTGAAATAGACAATCGTAGAGTCAATTTAAGATAAAGGAGACTAAATTTAATTTGTCGGTAATATCTAAGAAGACACCCGATATTATCGATATTTTATAGAGCGAACCAATTACATATCGTAAAATCCTTAGTGATAGATTTTCTACGTCGATTAAAGACGTGGATGGAGTTGATAGATTTTTCTAACGAAGATATCAGAGTTATATGGTTAGAAAAGAAGTTTTAAGGCTCTTCAAATATTGCTATTGGGACTTGAAAAATGTATTTTTTTTCCCTTTATTTCTTTTTTTTAAAGGCTTCACCTTTTAATATAGGCATGCAACCAAATGATCTCAACTTCTTCCTTCCCCATCCACTATGACATTGCTCATTTTTGTCTTCAATCATAATGCCCATTTCTTTTGTTTATATATTATTAATGTCTGCCTTCTCAGCTTTTACTTTTCATGTCTGGGTTTCTAACCTTTTTCTTCCTTTCATTAATTATTTGGTGATGTCAAGTTAATTCTGATTAGGGTAGAAGATTTCAAGTATAAATTTTGTTCGATGTTGGGTTATTTGTAAATTTAAGTTTGTGACGTTTTGAGTTTAATAGTGATCTAATGATCGAGCGAAAAATTAGCCACCGACTTGGAAAATAATTGTTTTTCCTAACTCCGTTAATCAAATAATTGTGTTTTTGTAGCTTTTGTGTAATGTCTTCATGTGGATTCAATAATTAATTGGTTATTATTAGTGAGTGTCCTACCTAATGACCTTCTTTGTCCCTAAGTTTCATTTGGATATGGCTAAAAGCAATATTCCCACAATTTATTTTCCGAAAGAACAAAAGGAAAAAAGAAAAAAAAAAAAACAAACATAACTCCAACTCACGTCTTTTCTAATGACAGGATCAATTATTATTGAGTTAAGCTCTATATTGGCCTCAAATTCATATTTTTCTTTGATATTATTTGAAATGGAGAGAAGACTACGACGACAACTTTTTAATATTAATTTATTTAAATAATCGAGACCACTGTGAATCATGAAATTTTGGAAAATGGCATTTTCAAGCCAGCATGTTGGATGCTAATAATCACGCGAGTCTTGTCTTATATATTGTAATTATTTGAGTTTAAACTTTAAAGTAAAAGAAATAAAGCTGAAATTATATATCCTTGTACGGAATTTCCATCTTTTCTATGCATATGCCTTTTATCCTTTTCATGGGAAGATTTCAAATTCTAATGGTTGGATTTCATAAGTCCAATAATCATTGTGTGTAGACAACATATTTGATCCACTATGATACTAAAATATATAACCTATTTAATTAAATTGAATTACACTTTAATTACATTATTAATTGCCCAAACTCCAAAGTATTTAGATCCACGACACATGTTATTTCTCTCGAATGTTAGTGGAATATATTCACCCAAAAAAAAACTTACAAGATTAATTATGATTATTTATCTTCTAAACTCCTTAATCTCATTTAGATTAAGCAAACAAATTAAATTTTTGGAATACTACTGAATAAGTTAAAAGACAATTTTCTCTTTTGCTTCATAGGTGTGCAATGTTTATTAGGTTAAATTTTGAGTGACCCACAATTTCAATGATTTTTGGTTTAAGCTTATTGTCCCTATGCAACATTTTAGTTACGAAAATAGATTATTCTCTTTAACGTATCTCGACTGGTTAAAGTACTTTATGTTCGATCAAAAGAGAGTTTATAAATTTCCACCCACTCGTAAAAGAAAAATCTCTATATGTGTGATCTTTTTTAAAAGGTTATTAATTCGATGTCCGTGCGTTTTGCTTTTTATCATTTTTGCATAACACATCCTCCTATTCTCCAATTTCACTTCATCAATATTTCTTACAATCAATCAATCACACCAAAGTTCATAGGAAAATGGTTTGAAAAGCTGGATAATCAAATTAATCCATTGTCATTAAGATATACAGTACCTGAAAATTTTAATTACAAAATCAAAAACCAATCTTATATTAGTCACTCCCCTCTACAAACCAAGTGATTTCATTTCTGTTCCACCACTTGCTCATTAATCTTGCTCTAAAAAACCCCCATTACAAAGATAAATAGAAAAAAAAAATCCCAAATTACTGCACATAAACAAAACCCAAAAACAAAAAAACAAAAAAAAAAAGAGCTTCTCTTCTTCTCTTCTCCTTTTTTCTTCCAACTCAACAAACGCCATTAGAGATGGAGTTTCGTCTCTTAATGGTATCAATATCAGTAGATTCGTACACAGGCAATCCAGTGGAGTAATAATCCAAATCATAAATCTGAAGCTCAAACAGATCAGAACTTGAATCAGTCTCTCCGCCATCATCGTCATCATCAATAATATTATCTATAATGTCATCAATTTTTCTCAGCTCAATTTCTTCTGCTACCATTTTCTCCACCCAACCCCTATCTTTCTCTCCACAATTCTTCTTCTTCTTCTTCTTCTGTTTCTCCACACAACCCGCCTCGTCTTTCCTTCTCTTCTCCTCGTCCACGCCGGGTTTCTGCAATGCCACCGCTGATCTTATATGTCGGTTCAACTTCGAAAACGACAATAGTTCTTTGTACCTCTTTGTCGGGGTTTGGACCTGATCACGCGGCGGCGTTCCGAACCCTGTGTTAAGAATACAAATAAATGATTAAATATTATATCTCACTTCTAAGACTAGGGTTATGTTACAATTACACAAGTTACTACTCTTATTATCAATTAATTTTGCGATGAAACTTTTGAATATCAACATCATATTAGAACCCAACGAACCATTTAATAAAAAAATGGAATTCGAACATTGATGAGTAAAAAAGAGTCACGATCTCGATGGATCATGTTACAGATCTCACGTTGAAAAGATAACAGAAGTTTATAATATATACGAGCTACTCCTCTCTTTGTTAATCGATTTTGAGAAGAAATCCCATAAATATTAATAGGTCGGTATAAGAACCTGAAGGAGGAGAGGAAGAATAGATGAACTTTGTATGATCTGAATGGCTGATGCTGATCCTTCTCTTGGAGTTTCTTCCTCTTGGGCTTTGGTGCAATTGTTCCATATCCTCCATGGATTGAAGGGAAGATTTGGGCTTGTTTTTCTTCTTAGAAGAACCAGAAGAATGGCTGAAGAGAGAGTTCAAAAAGTTGGCGAGTCTCCCGCCGGGGGAGCTCGGCTGCTGCTTCAAGTTCTTGTTGTGATCAATATCTTTCACAACTTGCTTTTGATCAACACTGTGAGAATTATTATGTTGGGGAAGATTAAGGATGTTCTTCACCTGCATGTCTAAGCTGATTCTTCCTTTGATCCATCCTTTGTGGTCTTTCTTCTTCACTTTCTGAGTGAACTTTGCAGCAGAAGCAGCAGCTTCGAACGCCTCGAGCTGATCCTTGGAAGCTCTCCTATGGTGGAACATCTTCTTGTTCATCATCTCTGCAAAGCTTGGAGAAAACTAGAGGGAGAGGGAAGGATTGTTGTTGAAGAATGTGAGGTGTTATATGGGAGATGAGTTAAGAGGAAGACCCACATGGAAATAATGGTGGAATTGAGGAGCAATAATGTGACTATGAGGAGGGTTTTTGTTGAGGGTTTTGGGTACCTTGGATTCTAGCAGTGGGACTTGCCTTTCAAGTGGGTGTTGGCTATGTGGGATATATTTTTATTTTATATACGTCTAAATTTTTGGTACGCTTGATGAGATAAATGTATTTGAAACTTTTTTCACCATGGATCCACTAAATGACAAAAGATTATATACATTGATTGATTAGTACTAATTTTTCATCCATGTACTAAAGAATTAAGCAAATATCTTAATTATATTAAGGACATGCATCATTGATTGATTACTCTAGTTATCTTCAATTGAAGGGCATCATCAAATAACCTGATACAATATGTATAACGTTGGATCGTTTTGATTCTAGCGAGATGAATGAAAAACATTTAATTTTCGAGAAAGATAGCGTATAATGTTGCAAAAAGTTGAAATGTAAGGGGAATAGGCCTACAAACACACAAATATAGGCAATTGAGATAAAGGGGGGACATGGGAAGAACACATGGGTGTGTAGTATATGTTGTGTTGTTGAAAAGGAAAGTTGTGTGTTTGTTGGGTAAGTGTGTATAAGTGTAATCTTTGACGCATAAAATGAGGGTGGCCCACTCTTATTTTGCTGCTCCTCTTTTGCGGGATGTTTGGGTGTGACACTTCTCTTTATGTTTTCTTTCTTTTTCAATTCGGTACAGATTATAAATTGGATTTGGATTTACCCCAAAAAAAACTTAGATGGTATTCGGGTTTGTTTCGTAAAAATCTAAGATTTTTATTAGATGGATGTTTGGATTCTCAACTTTGTTTTACAAGGATATAAGATACTCATGCATATCTCAAGATACCCAAATCTATACGGGAGGCATCTAAGATGTTTTAGATGCCATTTTGAAATATGGATTTTCAAAATCTCCTATTGAGAGTATCATCTCTTTACATTTTTGCCTTTCATTACGGTCTCGACTCTAACGAAATTAAAATTGGCCTTTAATGTTAGTTTTCAACTAACTCACATCTCATATATATGCAATGTCAGTTCCGCAACTRACATTGACTCAGGTGTCATCGGACCTATAATGTCATTAAATTAACTGACATTGTAGGTTTACGATGTCAGTTATTTCCATATGTCAGTTCTTAATCGACATTGACTTCATAGCCTTCGATGTTRTTCCCAGGTGTCATCCTTGGTCAATGTGATCTTTTTCAAAAGGGTTCTCCATAATAAATTATGTAAAACAAACATTAGTTTGAAAATTTTCCTACAAAACTATCTAAAATATTACATTTCTCAAAAAATAAACAACTCTTTTTGAGTTCAAGTCCTGGTGCCCTACCACATGCCCTTGACCTCCCCATCTCCCCTTCCTCGATCTATTACTACCATATATTTGTGTCTCTCAGGATAAATGAAATAAAATGGATAATTCTTATTAATCAAAATAAAAATCAAATCATATGTAATTTGTTTAGTTGATGATCAATAAGTCAAATATTGCAAAGTATTGCCCAAATAAGTGGTTGATGACTTTGTCATATTATTTCAAGCTGAACTTGTCGAAAAAAATTTATATAAGTGTTGGATTACAACAAATGTAGGGTGTTGGGCGTGGGAGTTGAACCTATATTTTTAAGAAATGTGAAAGCATATATACCAAAGAAACTGTAAGGTAAACGAGCATAATTTTTCAAAAACACAAAACTAAAAACGAGGCTATTATCAAATCGGGTGTTAGGTATTTATTTCTAAATAATTTCTCTTGGGGTTTTGTTATTTAAAGTTGGAAACCCAAAATTTGCTAAATTAAAGTACTTATTTTGTTGTTGAACTTGGGCTAAGCTAATTGGGAATGCTCTGAAAGGCCCAGACAAGCATGAACGGTCTTCTAAAGAGAGCATTGTTTATGGGCTTAATTAGGAAGCTAAGAGCCCAAATATCCATGACGAATTTGTTTTTGTGGTCAAATAATACCTGATATTTTATAAATGTCCATTTTTCTACCGTTTAGATATCTACATTTATAGGATTTAAATAAGTTTTGTTTTTTCTTTTYCTAAATTGCCCTCCATAACTATCCTTCTATATATTTATTATTATATTTTAGAATATATTATTTCCTTTTATAATTAAYGTTTATCTTGTATTTTAATAAGAAAAGTTTGATATCCATTAAAAAAATTCCCAATATTTTAGGTGGTGGGCATTCAAAATCTTGCAAATTTTCTCTAAATTCATACATTTTCTCCAATTTTATATGGCGGTCACAATTAAGAAATTTCCATATTTTTATTTTTTTTCAATACTGTGGGCTGTGACATTTTCATCTTTTTTTATGACTTTTTTTTTTATCTAGGCTACCAATTCATTAATCTTTTCAATATATTAATTAGGTTATATAACATATACCTTGTATTATTATATAGTTATATAAATATACCTCTTTCTTTTTATTATTCTCGGTTTATGTATATTGGGTTAAAATAAAAAAGCATCCACACTTAAAATTTTAATTATTAATTTAATATATATATATATTGTGAATAAAATAAACAAAATAGGATTATTTGATTTGTGAACAATTATTTTGGGAGTTGAACTGAAATCGAGACATATTCGGTGGAGACGTGTCGATTTGCCATGACAGCTGGAGTGGAGCATTGTCTTCAAATCACGTGGGCCCCACCTTCGCCAGATACAAGCGCCTGATTTGGACTGCCAGCCAATCACCACTCGACACGTTCTCTACACCCTATCATCTCCCAAACTCCCACTTCTTTATGCTTTCTCTCTCCTCCCCATCATATTACTTTCTCGTCCTTATATTTTTACCATATTATCTAAAATACCCCGCTTAACAAAAGTCAAATTTCCGTTATTTGGAATTTTGCTTTAATTTGCTCCATATTTCTTCGGCAAAATTAGAAAATTGTTCCTTTTATTTTTGGAACTGAATTGAAAAAAAAATGGAAATTTTTTTATGAGCGATTTCTATGCTTAATTGGACCCAAAATGATTGAGTTGGTTTGTGATTTATATATGACACGAGTATAATTGATGGAATGGAGGAATATTAATCATTGTATTGTAGTATATCTATATATAGAGGGGAATATTAAAAATAATTCAAAATTACTTTGTTAGTATTTTCTCCTAAAACATATTAATATGAAAGTATTTTATTTGAAAAAAAATACTACTCTTAAAACCACTCTTTAACTCAAGAGTTGTTTTAATTACCTATTTAAGCATCAAAACAAAACAACTATTTTTTTTTTGAAGTATTGTCGTCATTATATTAAATAAAATCTATTAAATAATTATTAATTGTTTACTATCACGTATATATTTTCTGTATTGCAATGATGTATGTTTTTTGTTTTTTGTTTTCTTTTTTTTTTTAAAAAAAATCAAACAGGCAATGATAATGTGCAAGAAAAACGCACAAAATCCAACTAAAAACTTAAATAGTCTGACACAAAATTAAGATGGGTAAAATGGGAAAAAATGTAGCATATGACATTTATAAATATATGATGAGGATGATTAGTGTGGAAATGGTTTAAATGCATGCATGAAAAAGATTGGACCTTTGAACGATAACAACAAGATTCCTATTTGACACTACTCCAATATCATCACTAAGATATATATTAGTGGCCCATAATAATTAGGGCACTATTTTTTAGGGTCAAGTTGTTTTACTTTTATAGCATGCTTTTGAGCATATAATTAAAAAGAAAATTGAATTCACCCTATAATCAATCCATATAAAACTTTAGTTTAGTACCAATGATTTAACATGACATTGAAATAAAATATTTTTTAAAGAATTAAAAAATAATTTATCATGATTTATTGACTAGAATTTTTGTAGCTAGCGACGATTACGAATCCGAATCGGGTCTAGCCAAAGAAGCATATTTGAAAGTAAATGTCTATGGTACTTTCTCATGGTATAGGGTTGTCTAGTAGCGTGGGTGAATCCAAAAACCTAAACACATGAAGGTCTTGTGCCAAATTTGTGTCACGACATTGCTTTTTAACTAGGTCTTTTCTATGCTTCTTGTTTGCTTCATTGAAGGGGAAGAAGCCAAGAAATGGAAAAGCAAAAAAGCAAATTAGGATAGAAAGCAAAACATGACAATAATGTATTTTTCTTTCTTTCTTTTTCTTTTTTCTCCTTGGATATTAATATACTATAAATCTATTTTACCTAAGGCCCTGGGCAGCTTCATTGACAAGGGCATGAAGTCTTGTAGTTTCACTTACCGTGACATATTTGTGTTCAAACATTCGAGTGAGCTTAATATATACCAAAAAGAACCCGCTTTGAAACCAGGAATAACGTTGCTCGTGAAGCAAATAACCGCATCTACGGTCAAGTTAATTGGGAGAGAATCAACCGATACCTTTTATGGAGCAATTCATGCATCATTCCTAAATGTTGCATTGAACTCTCCGTTTGTAGTGCGCTCTCTAAGTGTGATTGTTCCCTCATTCTTCCTTTACCATGACAAGTTTTTGTGAAATAACTTCGATAAGAAGAAAAGAAAAGGCGTTAGGAAAAACCTTCATGGCCCAATCCATTATCACACTCTAAGATCCTTTTTCAAACCTACTTCCAACATATGCGTGTTTAGTTCATGAAAAGTTTCAATTGCTTACCTTTAGTGATGATCACTATGTTAAACGTGATATGCCTAAAAAAGAACCCGAAGAAATCAACTAAATCGATTGCCTTAGTCCGGTAAATTTGATCAATTTTTCAACTTATCTAAAACAAAATTACACTTTTACGTTCTACTGTCTATTATTACATCATATCATGCCAATACTAAAATTTGACCAAACAAATAGGTAAGAGTAGAGATTAAATAGAATTTGAATATTAAGCTTTTTGATAATATTAAATGTGTCACATTAAATGAACTTTCCTCTCTCTCAATGTTATTTTTTTTTTCAGGATAAAAGAAGAGATTGAGAATCAAAACATTTGGCCAAAGTTTCAAACTCTTGAGTCTTGACCTAGTTTTTTTCTTTTCCAACGTCAATCACCCAAAAAGGTCGAATTTGGAATGGGATCATACATGTAATACAAATTTACCACCCAGCCCATGGGCGTTATCTCTCTAGCCGAGCCCATGACACTGTAATATCAAGATTTCCTCAGGGGTGGAATCGTCATAACACAAAAGTGAACTGAGACAACTTGTGGTGGCATGAGGGTCATCCCCACTCAAACGTCGACACGTAGTAACCCAAAAAGTTTCAAACGGTTCTTAAGGATTTCTCCCATCATCTTAGGGCTCCAACCCTGACAGATCTGACAGTGGGCCCATGTAATTATTTTTCATTTTTCATTTTTTTAATTTCTTAAACAGTTAATAGACTAATTAATTAGTTTCACTTATGACGTCACAGCTGTTTTTTTTGTCTCGAAGATCACACCCTATTTATTGATGTAATTGCCATTTTGTGATCATAAATCCAAGGCAACAAACTTGAAGCTATATTAATATATATATATAGAAACTTAAAAGGAAAAAGAGAATCCAATTTTAGTCCAAAGTTCAAATCAATTAAAACAAAAATAAACTAAATTCATAAGTTAAATTTTGTTTCCAAAATAACACGTCACAATTAAAAGGTAAGAAAAATGTAAAAATACCTTCACTATTAGGCCTAATCATTTCATTTGAGATTTAATATACCACACATATGATTACTACTTAGCGAACCAGTGCATGAGCACTTTTGTTTGTATTATTCTTGAAGAGAAGAGTCTTAGATTGAAGAGACGTAGATATAAGAATTTGAACATTCACCCTCTAAGAGAGGGTATAAATACTTTAACCACTAATCTACACTCAAGTTGTCAATTAGTACGAAGACATATATGGAAATATGATATTTATTCGTTTTGAGCTTAAACGACCCATGTGCGATTTTATATGCTCGAGATTCTATTGAGAAATTAATAGAGGTGTTATATTCTTATATACCTAATATCTTCTCAATTAGTTAAGATGGTGAGAAAAAGGAGGATATATTTATATAGTGAGAATGTATGCTACAGCACCCACAAAGTTAAAGGGGGTTGTGGGATAAAGGATTATTCTTCTCTCTCTCTCATGAGTTTGAGTTTGTTTGTGTGTGGTTTATAAATAGGAGAAAGTGATGAGAAATGGGAGAGAAGGGAGATAATAATATAAATTAAGTAGTAGTAGAATTATGGGAAGAGGGAGAGTGGAGCTGAAGAAGATAGAGAACAAAATAAATCGACAGGTTACGTTCACCAAGAGGAGAAATGGGCTTCTTAAAAAGGCCTACGAGCTCTCAATTCTCTGCGATGCCGAAGTTGCCCTCATCATCTTCTCCACTCGCGGCAAACTCTACGAATTCTCCAGCTCCTCAAGGTCAACCCAACAAAACAAATTAAACCTTTTTTTATTATTATTTATTAGTATTTTTTGTATTTTATTTTAGTCCTCTCAGATTTTGATGGGGTTTTCGAGTTTGTTTTGCAGTATAGCCAAGACTTTGGAGAGGTATCAAAGGCACAGCTATGGCGCATTGGAACCCTCCCACCATCCCAAGGACACTCAGGTCATTTCCCTACCCCATCCACCCCCAAATTCATAGGGTATTTGCCTCAATTATGTGTTTCTGTCGTGTCAAAAGTTTTACTTTAAATCTTCGGCATATCCATCTAACCCTAGTTAACACTTGTGTTAATTTTGAGAATTGATTAAGTGGTAATTGGACTCTACTCCTTCATTTGAGGTCGAATGTTCAAATTCTAGCTCGTATCTACAATGTTTTTTTTTTTTTTTGTTGATTATGAGAGAGATTCCAATTTTTGTCAATTAAAATTAAAGTTGTAGAGTTGAAATGATAGGACAACCAATTTTGTAATTTAGGAGCATTTTATACAACTTTATAAGTTTTCTTTTAGAAATATTAATTATTGGTTATTTTTTGAAGCAGAGATGGTACCAGGAGTATTTGAAGCTCAAAGCAGAAGTGGAATCCCTCCAGCATTCTCAGAGGTTTCTTCCTTTTTTTTCTTTTTTTTTTCTTTTTTTTTGGGGTTAATTAGTGTTTGTAAATATATATAGACACATAATATCAAAATAAATATATTATTTGTGTTTTATAGGCGATTTCTTGGGGAGGAATTAGATGATCTGGAGACCAAGGAACTTGACCAACTTGAGATCCAATTAGAAATGTCTCTGAAGCAAATCAGGTCCGCAAAGGTATATATAAATTCTGGTATAAATAATTAAAACTATATAATATAAATTCTGTGTATGATTAAATTGGGGGTGTTTATTAATTTTGCTGAATTAATGAACTTTTTTGCAGAGTCAAACGATGTTTGATCAGTTATCTGATCTTCAAAAAAAGGTAGTCCTTTTTTTTTTGTTTATTTTTGAGAAAAATTAGACATTAATTCATATAATAGACTGGACTGATTTATTTTCTCTCCTCTGATTTTTGTAGGAAGAGTTGCTGCTGGAAACAAATCAAGCTTTGAGGAGGAAGGTATATCGAGTAATTAAAGACACCAATTAATTAAATCAATTACCTGTTCTTTTTTCTTATTATTTTTTAATTAATAAGTTAGAAGTGTAGGGATATTTTGATGTTATAATTATATAAACATCATAAAATAAATATGGTATTTTCAAATATGACATAAAATTTAAAGCTTAACTTAAACTATGTGGTAATGAGAAATTAAAACTATGTTGTATTTAAAATAATAATAATAATAATAATAATAATAATAATAAAAAAAGGGTGTGACATTTTACAGAAACACATGTTAATTTAATATTATTTAAATATTCAAGAACGATATAAATATCGAAGTTAGAGTTAACATAAACATAGCTTAGCAGTAATTTGATATATACTTATTCCTTGCGGTTGAATTCGTTGAATTTGTTGTTATTAGAAAATATATATTGAAGTTGGACTGCATTCGCCTCTAAAATCAGTGGTAATAAAAATGCCCCTTTTTTGTAATTTAATAAAAATTATATCAAATTGTAAGAGTTTAAGGCTAATTGTATATTATCTTATTGGGAAAAAATGCATGATTAATATATAACTGAAATTAATTTTAGTTAGAGGCAATAGTCAGTATAATTGACCCAAAAAAATTATATATATATATATATATATATATATATATATATATATATATATAAAGATATCGTGTGATAATTGTTATATTTTTTATTTTGAAAATTTAGTTTATAAATAGTATATTTTCATTCCTTATTTCTATGTTTTGTTGTCTACTTAATTTCTATTTTTTTTATTTAAGTCAAATTTTGAAGACTAGAAAAAAAAAGGTAGATTTTGTTTTTAAATTTGGCTAAGATTTTAAATTTGTTTTTTTTAACAATTTAAAATGTGTTTTTAAAGAATGATGAAAAAATATACCAAAGAAATAGTTAGAAAGCAAGTTTAATTCTTACCATAGAAAATTAACAACAAAATTGTTATTCCAACCAAACGTAAATTAAATTACAATAAATTTAATTTCATATTTCCACATTTCACTTTATGTGTGGGATTGAGTACTAACATAATGTATAATATATGAATTATTAATATGAAATAAGAAGGAAATAACTCAACAAAGTGCAAAATTCAAAATTCTATTACAATTTAGGAGTGCTTGACTCACATCACACAGGAAAGATATGTTGATATATGTACATTGCATTATCCCAAACTATAGATTTATAGTCTCATCAATTACATTAATTATTTATAAACTCGAAGTCAATTAAACTTAGAAATAGTGGTAAATATGACAAAAACATTTAGTAAAATTAGTAAAATAGCAACCACGTTTAGTTTTTTCAAATATCGAACTTAAAAGAAATGGAGGTCCAATTTAAAAATGATAAGTTTACTAAAATGATGTAATGCATATKTAATATATCTAACTACTAATATGTATATATGATCTACTACTATTGATAGGATTGTTTGTGCAAATATGTATGTGATATACATCTAATATACTACTGACAGAGTATCTGATGAAATTTTTTGCTATATTTGAAAATTAAAAAAACAGGTGACATATTTTAAAATGCATAAAATATTTCTACCACTGATTTCAATTTCCGAAATACTATGCATAAATATTTTCATGAACCCACCAAATCCATCAAACTCAAGATTTTCTTACTAGCCATAAATTTTTATAATTATCTAATTTTTTAGTCGAAAACAAATTAATTTTTTTCCTTTGAATGGGCAGTTGGAGGAAAGTAATGCAGCTCTTCATTGGACATGGGAAGCTTCAGATCAGCACAGTTTGCAATACAGCCGACAAGCTGAGGGCTTTCTTCAACGCAATAACATTGTTGCATTGGAAAATAGGTAATTATATATATATATATATATTCTCTACTATATAGATAGGAGCCCAGCTATAAATTCTTTTCCATTCTCAAAATTTAGATGATTAAATTAGAGGAATTAAAGAAACCTTTTTAAGTCATTTATGGTAACGTTTGCTTTTCTTGTTTCTCGTTTTTAATTATTTTATTATTAAAAGACCTAAGTATTTGATAATATTTATTTTGCTTGTTTCTCGTTTTCTCTCTCAAAATTGTAGAAATTTTGAAAACAACAAGAGTAAATTTTTTGTTACATTTTCTATTTGTTCCAAAACATAAATAAAAATATAGTTTTATCGTTCTTGAATTCACGTGGACGTTGGAGTCATATGTGTAATTATATATATTTTTTTTTGTTCAAAAAGAGGAAATATATGGAAACGTTATTGTAGCCCTTAATATCGTCCTAGTTGAGATGGGGTAAATCTTTCCTTGTTCTTGAACATAGAGCTATAAAATAATTAAGACTAAATTATAAAAAATAGTCCTGAACCTTATTACCTGTTTTCAAAAGTCTTTCAATCATAAACCTTTATAAAATATTATTTTAAATGGAAAATTGATATGACAAGAGATATAACAATTAACGTAGAAACTTACCTGAAGATAGGAAATATAGAAGATGCTATCATTTTTTAAAATAAAAATTGTGGGTATAACTTGACATTTTGTCCCTTTAGAAACGGCCTTCTTTCCTATTTTCTCTCTTCAAATTTAATTCAAGAAATCTTTGCCACATTGCTTCAAATTTTAAATTTTTTCGTTCAAATCATTAGCAGATATTTGTTGATCTAAGGATATTTGTTGAAATGTTTATAAAAGGTGAAAGATAATATTGGATAAAGAATATATGTACTTTTGAAACAAGTACTTGACAGACATTTTGTTGTAATTTAGCCTAAAATTAAAACGATTTGATAAATATATATTTGACAAATAATTTGGGTTTGTTTCTTAGTTACCATCCTGCAGAAGTTTCAAATCAAGAAAATGGCATAAACTCTGGGCCAGAACCAGAAGCTGCTAGTGGGTTTCCTTCACACTGGATGATGCTTTGATCTTCACAAAACAAAACCAATTAATACTTTATAATTTCAACCATATATATTCAATATATATCACAACAATATTATATAATAATATATGAACCAAATCTCTCACAGGATGTCACCCATTTGCATCAATTGTTCATGTGTTCTTTCTTCTTTTCAAACTATTATTCTCAATTTGAGCCTAAAACTCATTTACTTTTTTCGCGCTCTTCGATTGAAATGTATTGTGGGAGAGATTTGATCTTGGTTGAGAATATATCGAAGAAGATTAAATTTATCTTATCTTATATTAGTATAAAATTTTAAGTTTAACGATGATTTATTTCCATTTTTTAATTTTAAGAGGAGAAACGACATGATTATAATATAATTTTTGCTTGAAACAGAAACTATTTCACTCAGGGGAGAGACATTGAGTAACATACCTACCAAAGAAAGTTAGAAGAAAAATTTCCAATCAAGCAAAATATTGAGATATCATAATTACAAAAAAGATGTAGTGGTTTTGATGATGTTGTCCCAAAGCTGCAGATTTGATCCAAAAGTATTCATAAAAGTTTCATTGTTTCTCTCCAACTAGAATAGTATTGAATTAATTAGTTATTATTATTTTTTGACATATGTGAGTGTTCCGATCAACTCGAACATTATGACCAAACTCACGAGACAACCGTCTTACTCTACTACATTTTATTATTAAGGAAACACATAAAAAATTAATTCCTAGCATCACATCAGGTTTTTAATCTATTCCCTACAAAAGCTTTTGATTTACCTTTTGAATTATTTATTTATTAGATCTCTAAATTATAATTGTCAACGGGAGAACTTTTTTAATAACTAAATTTATGATCTTATCGAATTCTTTATCGATGTTTATTATTATTATTATTATTATGACAGGCGATGACTAAATTAAACCTTATATCTTAATTTTGATGTGACCAAAATTATTTTTCAAAGAAAGTTATATGACCACACTAAACATTAATTGTAAATTACAAAAATATTAATGAATTTATTGGTGATGATAATTATATATAAAAAGAAAAAAAAATTACCATCCATTAATTAAAGAGGGCAACTCATTTTTACTATAAATGTAGTCAAAACCTTCCACAATAATTCAAGAATCCAAGGCATCATTTAATAAGATGAGCAAATATTGGTTCCACCATGTGTGATGGCATGGTTATATGATTTTCCTAGCTAGTAACTATAGACTTATAGAGTTATGAGCTTGTAAGTAATTATGGACTATTTTAAAATACTCTTTATAGTTTCTCTCAAAAAAAAAAAAAAAACTCTTTATAGTAATGTTTTTAATTGAAAACAATCCTTTGCTACCAACATTTTTAGTAAATATATACATCGTAACTACAAAAGTGGATCGATTTGAAAGTCAAATTGTGTGGCTGCAATTTCTCTATCCTTCCAAAAATAATGACGTAGTTTTATTTGATGAGCCTTGGAACATATATAGCTATTGTGCTTGAGCCATATAAGATAATAAGATCGCTATTTTTTACCTCCATAAGTCGCATATTGAATTTGTGTAATATAAGATATTTGTAAAGCCAAATCTATATATTCATTTGATATTCTTAAACTTCTTGAAATTCTCATTTTCCAACCTTAAATATATATTAACTTCCTACAAATTACTACTGACAAGGACAAGGACATAACTTAGCAGTAATTGAGGTCAAAAGATCTCCAATATCTTCAAATTGTCATAAAAAAAATTCTTATAAATTACCTACTATACAAAATTTGACTTTTTAAATTTGTGAACCAAAAATTTCATTCTTTAAAAGTGGCTTCAAAATGTTTAAAGCACTTTATTATATACATAGCCAAATATATCAATAAAAATAAATAGTGCTTTTAAGTAGAGAAAAGCACTTTTCAACATTTCCAAAAAACTATCCAAACCAGGCATTGGATTTTCCCTAAAACTAGGCTTCTTCTTTTTCTTCCGTTTCTATTTGTGCATTTATCTACCTTCTTTTTGTCCTTTACTAATTTAAGGAAATCACATGTGTATAATTGAATGTGAATTTTTTTTTTTAGCACATTTAACATTCATGTGTTATCTCTTTCACTCTTTCCATTATTGTTCCCCATCGATCAACTTTTCGTAGACCACACAATTAATTCGTTCTTCCATATTAGATATTTTATAAATTATTAAATACTTAAGTTTTGAGTTCATTGATGATTTAATCGTGTTTAAGAGGTTAAGAGTACAAGTTTTTTTAGTTCAACATCTAACAATGATGGAGGATTAGAATCTTCGACCTCATGTTTGGTTTTTTTTTTTTTAATTTGGTTACAATTTATAGAAAAATGTCTCTTCAGCTTGAGTATTCTACTCAAGTTAAAAAATTGATGTAATTATGAGATTTTGAATCATAAATTTAAAGAGAAGAAGTTGTTGGGAGAGTGACATTTTGGGGATTGCTTGCTTTTCCAATATGTAGTACACAAATATCCAAACAAAATTAATGCACTTTAAGAGAATTTATATATCAACTATTTCATTCATTACAATAAATGATAAATACAAAAGCAGCCATAGCCATATATGAATCGGAACATATCTCAAAATATCATACCCACTCATATTCCCTCCATGGAAAATATTTAATTACACTTTACTAGAAGAAACTTACAATTAGGGGATATATATATATATATATATATATATATATATATATATTAATTAATTAAAGAGGGAAATGATCTTTTTTATTTTTTTTATTTTATGGAATTGATATTGTGTGATTTATACTAATGGATCCCTATAATCGAGGTTGATTGCATGAACTGAGCAACATTGTGACTAGCACAATACTCGAATAGAAGACTTCATGGTACAAGTGATACCACGCGGTCCCATTTCCTTGCCACACTGTGCCATCTAAGGGACAAAAATGGTCGATATAATTATAAAGGGTTAATTTTAAATCTACTCAAAAGTTGAAGCTAGCATATTAGGGTATATTATTTAGTCTTTTACATCTTCAATATGACATACTTTTCAGGAAAAAAATTACTGTGTTTTCTAGAATTTAGTATTTAAAGCTAATTTTTATTGGTTGGTTTGGTAGCTAAAAATTGAGTTAATTGAAATAATTTTTATACACTCTCAATTATGTGTGGGCATTTCAACTTTATTAAAATAATTAAAATGGCTGCATTTTTCCATAATTTAGGACTTGTGGGGATAGCAAAATTTCATTCAAGGCAATATAAATGTAAATTAAATCAATGAGAATTGAGATTTAAATACAATGAGTCATCGTACAACTACAAATATATAATTTGTACCAAATGTTGGTGCAAATAATTTATAATTTTGATATCTTCCGATTCCATTATGTAAAGGAATTGAAAATTAAATCAATTATTTTTTGGGCATGTACGTTTGGATATTCTTGATTTTTTTTTTTAACTATCTTAACAATTTATTGCTAATAATTTCTTTGTTTTTCCTACCTACAAATTATTTCTAAAATCTTAGGCAGTTTTCAAAAGAATAACACTCTATTTATATATATATATAAAAGAAAACCTAATATTTTATTCTATTTTAGTTATAACCATCATGATGCCGTGTGGTTTACACTGCTAGCTTGAATGCAAGACCCTATGATAAATGATACCGCAAGACCCAAGACCCTTGTCACTGCGTTCTCTCGTAGAACAAAAGCTTGTTAATATATCAAAGTAGACTCTTTAGACATGATCTTGAAATAAAGTTTTAGCTACAATGCTCTCACACTCTCTGTTGTCTTGTCATCACGACTTTCTTCTTCTTTTAGATATATTGTAATTTAAGACCCCTTATTCCACTTGGGGTGACAGTGACTGTGACTGTGAGGCATATATACAATAACATTCAACACAAAGGGTTATACTTATACTTCTAGGGTACCCTAACAGTGTAGGGTTGGGCATCATGTACAAAAATAAAACCCCTCCAAATAAATAAATAAACAAATATAAAAACTTAACTCAATTATGGGATGTGGTCTACAGGCCATAAACACCACTCTCCATAATAGAAAAAGAAAAAAAAAGTGACCCCCACCCCACAGGTTCTGTTGTGTGTATCTCAGTTGTTAAATTGTAATCTCCACATGAAAATTGAAACCCAATTCAGATTACTCATCTCATTGCCCTATCAGCTCTCGACAGCTCTTCAAGAAAACCACAGTGGTTTTTCCCAAAACCAGAAACCAGCCATTTCATTCTATATAAGACCTCAAAACTGCCCCCACAGGCCAGGGCAGGCCTTCTTTCTTTCTTTCTTTCTTTGTGTTCTCTAGTCTGAGCTTCATAATTTGGGGAAATAAAAGTGAAAGTTATGGGAAGGGGTAGGGTTCAGTTGAAGAGAATTGAGAACAAAATAAACAGGCAAGTAACTTTCTCGAAAAGGAAAGCTGGGCTGCTGAAGAAGGCTCATGAGATCTCTGTTCTGTGTGATGCTGAAGTTGCTCTCATTCTCTTCTCCCACAAAGGAAAGCTCTTTGAATACGCCACTGATTCCAGGTCAATTTCCTTTCCCTTCTCTTTCTTTTATTTTAGGGTTTTCAAAACACAGCCCCAGATCTTCTTTTCTTTTCTTTTTTTGCCATCTGACACTTCCCTGTAATTAAACTTTAGACATTTGGGTGTGGCTTAATTTAATTTCCTTGCTCTCCCCTTCTCATCATTTCTCTGACTTCTCACTCCCACTTAACACCCACTTCTTTAAAACAACTCGATATCGTCGTAAATTTATGAATCGAATCGTAGGTTCAGTGGTGATTTAACACGATCCATCTTAGTACATAATGAATAACCATACTTTTTTTACTTTTTTTTTTCATTAGTTTGTTTATGGGTTTTATACTTCTTTTTGTTTAGGGATCGAGATGGAAACGTTTTGGAGTGGGAAAGTTGGGTTTTTTAGGGCAAAACCTGTAGATTTCTCTCTCTCTCTCTCTCTCTCTCTCTTTTTTTTTTTTGGTTTGGGTTTGATGCCTTGTTTGTGTAAAGTAAAGTAGATTTGGTATTGCCCCATGAGGGTAGGTTTGTACTTTTAGAACAGTTGTGGACTTTTTTTTTCTTTCTTTCATGGAAATGGGGATCCAAAAAACAGTTCTCTCTGGGGATTTATTTTGCTTTTCATGTGTGGCTAGAGATCAAAATGGTTAGAAAACTGAAGAGAGACTGGTTTGGTATTGACTTATAACCCTAACTTGATGTTTTAATTCATATATATATATATATATATATATTGTTAACCGATATATATAACGATTCTAACCTATATTTTTTCAGTGAGTAAATAAAAATAAAAATATATTATTGTATTTGAAATAATTATGTTATGGAAAGGTATAGTATAAATTCATTTATTCTGAAAGCTAGGGTGTAAGAATAACTATGAAAAATAAACTTAAAAACAGAACAGTAATCTAGTTATCTTAGATATGTTTTCATTTTTTTTTTTGCTCCTGATTCTTTATATATATATATATATATATATATATATATATATATGGTTTTTGTTTGCTTTTTTATTTTTCTCTATTTAGAAGTTCGAAATGCCTTTTTGGTAAGAATTCCTATTTTTGTTTATTGTTCCCTAAAATCTTTCTATTACAGAGATGTTACTTTCGTTTGAAAACTAATTTTCAGAAATAAAATATTCAAAATTCCTTAGGTTTGATATTAATTATAAAACAACATTATAAAAATAGATAGTTTATAATGTTATGAAATATTAAAACTAGAAATTGGAGGCAAACCTCTAGTTCGGAGATTTAATCCTCACTACGAATATTAATTTTAGATGGGAATGTAGCAACACGAGCATAACTTAGTTATCTTACTCATTTTTTAGGGTTAGGGAGATTTAATCTCCCATCTCCCCATTTCTTATACTAAAAAAAATGGAGAGCGAGTTAGCAAGGATTTTGTTTGGCATGATTGTCAAAACGTTTCAATTTTTTTTTATAAAATAAAATCAGATACTTGTTTAATAAGTATTTATCCTTGTTCTTTTTTGTTATTTTTTATGCGTCAAAAAGCATAATAAATATAAACATATTTATCAACCAATTCTTTCTTCTGAAAAATGAAAGAAACATTGCTCTTATTATGTCTTTTTTAAAAAATTTATTGGTTTTTGGAGGAATGAGAACTTCATTAATGTAATATTACTTTATTAAAAATTTATAGGTTAAAAAAGATGAACTAGCACTTTTATTAATGTTTTCGAAAAATTGAAAATAAGGAATCAAAATTTTTTTTATAGATATTGTGTAAATTTTTTCGAACAATTCTAAAATATGAGAAAAAAAAACTATCACAGCATACATATTTCTCAAAAATTAAAATAAAAAGGAATAAATATTAAACGAAACTATTACCAAACGATACTTAAACATCTTTCCTTACAAAACATACCATAATTGTTTAATTTAATTTGTGAATATGTATTTATTCATCACCAACTGAATTGTTTGGGATCTCATACTCCTCCCCTTTACAATCTACCACAATATAACATAACATTGAATAATATATTATCTTGTCTCATCACCACTACTTCATTTTTCATACTATTATAGTACTAGAAATTTTAGGAGAAATGCAATTAAGAATAGAGAAGAAACCCTAACCCTATATGATGATGAATTAATGAGTGTATTAAAGTAAAGTAACACGAAGGTTTAATTTTTTCCCAGAAAAAAAGGGGAGAGAGAGATTGATATATGATATGATGGGGGAAGGGGAAAGTTGTTATTGTTGTCTAGGAAAAGACATGATATAAATAAAACAGTAACATTGGTGTTAATATGCTTGAAAAATGTAGGCCCAAACTTTCAAAATTTTCACTTTATTTGTAAAATATGTGACTGTCAACTCAACTTAAATCACCTCACACTGCAAACAGTTGCTGGTTTTGATGTACTATATATATTAATGGTTGCTTCTTGTTTGAGAGATACTCACACATCACATTGGAATTGATAGTCCACACAAGAGAAGTAGAGGAGATTATTCAGAGATAGTACTGTTCAATAGGGACACAATTTGGCCCTAGGTGATACTATTGTTATTATTATAATATCATTTTTGTTTGTTTTGGGTGATATTCTTTTTAAGTGGGTTTTGGGATTTGTTTGTGATGTTATGTTTTCAAAATTATATTCATTGCTACCAATTGAAGCCTGAATAAGGGGGAATGGTATGGTAATTGTGATCAATTAGAAAATAAATCTTGTAACGTTTTGGTTAAGTTGGGGCTTTTAGTTGTTTTTTTAATATCCGTAAGTATTCGGACCAGTTTGCATGCACATTCATTAATCTCAAGAGACCAGCTTCCTAATCCTACTACATTCTTTTTGTTGCCAAGAAAGCTCGTAAGATATGAAACTATAGTTAGGTGGAGGTGGCCACCCTATGATTTGAACTCGTTCTCTCTAGATTCTTTCGAATTTACTTTGGTCCTTTCATATCAATGGCCCAACCATGATGGTTGAAGTAGTTTGGCTCCAAGTTTCTTTAATGCGAAACACTCCCATAAAAAAATAATAAAAAAAATTACCATATAAAGAAATTTGAGTAATATGATTATGGCTCCTCTTTTGTACTAAATTCACTAAAACCCTCTTTGGTAAACTCATTTGTATTAGGACTCAACAAGTTAATTGATGCCAATTAATTGGAGATTATATATTCTTAGCATTATTATTACTGATGAGTTTATGAAGTTTATGGTGCAGCATGGAGAAAATACTTGAACGATATGAGAGATATTCTTATGTGGGAAGGCAGCAAATTGCACTTTCTGAAACTGAATTTTCTCAGGTTCGACAAATTAGAGTTAGAAACTGTAAAATCTTTTAACTTTTTTATATAATTTTTTTAATCTCAGACGAACTAGAGACTAATTGTCCCTCTCCCTTTAATCTTCGCTCCGATAGAAAGTGATATTTACTGTTGCGTGTGCTGTGCGCGTGTTTCTTTTTCCAGGAAAACTGGACGCTGGAATATTACAGACTCAAGTCCAAGGTCGAGCTATTACAAAGAAACAACAGGTAATTTTACACTCTTACGATATTTTGTCGATATTTTTAATGATGGAAACATCGATGATTGTTCGTTTGTCGTTTTTGTGTTTTGGTTGAAAGTCATTATATGGGAGAAGATTTGGACTCGTTGAGTGTCAAAGAACTGCAGAATCTGGAGCAACAGATTGACACTGCTCTTAAACACATTCGTTCAAGAAAAGTATGGCCCTTTTAATTTTTTATGCTGCCATTTTTGTTTGGATTATTCTTTCAAATTTTTTTTATTTATAACATATAATGTTTTCTGATATGAATTATTGGATTATTTTCCAGAACCAACTTATGTATGATTCCATCTCTGCACTTCAGAGAAAGGCAAGCAAACGCTCTATTAATTCCTCTCTCTTTTTTTTTTATAAATTTATAAGTAGTTCAAATTCCATTATTTTCTGGTTGGTTTTCTACACATTAATTCCATATTTATTGCAAATTACAGGAAAGGGCAATACAGGAGCAAAATGCCTTACTCGCAAAGCAGGTCAGATTTGCCTTATATTTGCTCTTGTTAAAAAATTTGAAACAAAAATGTGGTTTTTCATTCCAACACTTAAGTGTTTGGTTATATTTTCTTGAGAGTGATTTAACTCATTAGGTTTGTTTTTGATTTGCATTAGGGTTTTAAAATGATTATCTAGTGCATGTATTAAACTGTCGTAAAGTGTAGTTTGAAAGTGATTCTATAAATTTATCTTCAAAAAAAATAAAAATCACTTAGAAATTTTATGTCAAACACCCTGTTGTAGCACAACTGAATTGGTTAAGACGTATACATTCGACCAACAGGTCGGTTGTTCGATCCTAACCCTCCAAGCTGTTGAATAATTTACAAAAAGTGTTTCAGTTGAGTAGTGAGGTTCTTTGTTCGTAGGTTATAACACAACGTTTCGATGTTGTGTTAAATTTCTAAACTCATAAGTGGGAAGTGTAATTAAATGTGGCATTAACTTATCCATTAATTTAATGGCTCTTCTAGATCTGTGCATTTTACTTACAATTTTTTTTTTTTTGAAACAAAAGATAAAGGAGAAGGAGAAGAGTGTAGCAATGGCTCAGCAGGCAGAATGGGAGCATCAGCAACAGCAGCACCATGGTTACAGTGCTTTGTCATTCTTATTCCCAACACCTCCTCATCCCTCTCTAAACATTGGGTAATATAAAGTTTTCAACCGAAACCAAAACAATAGCTTCCATTAATTGTTCTAAAAATCTCAGGCCTATGATATTATAGAAATTACACATTCTTCTGAAATTCTGCACTGGATTCAACAGGCTTGCAAGTTTTGAGGGTAATCAATGATTCCACGATCAACACGTTGATCGGGGAGTTTCAGAGAAGGGAGCGGTGGAGGAATCGACGGTGTCGTCGGAGAGTTATTAAGAGTTTGAGAGGAAGATGAATCATATATAATAATGCAAAATGCATGGGAGTTAAGCTTTGTTTGTGTAATGGCCATATGGCTAGCTAATATATAAATATGGGATGTGGATGTGGGGGTTTTGTAAGTGAGAAAGACAACTAATTAATATGTTAACTTTGTGTTGTGTTTGTTAACTTCTAATGGAATGAACCAGCTGTTTGTTCCAAAAGAAGGGAAGTTTATGCAGCCAAGGCTTTTAATTAGAGTTTATTTAATGCATATGCAACTCTTTTATATTGATACGCTAGGGTTTACGGTTCATTTATGATTTTAAAATCCTATGCGCTTATCCATACTTGTATCTTTATTGGTGAGCATCTATTTCAAGTTTAACATTATTAAACTTGTGATAAACAGAAACTAAATTAGGGAAGGTGGAAAATAGCATATTTTTCTATTTTTATCAAAATAAAAAACTATCAAATTTTTAAAGGTGGTACTGACATTTGTAAAGATCTAATATTGAGATGAAAATTTTAACCCACAACTTTTTTATTGGAGATAGATTGAGGAATAAATAGTTAAGCTAAACAGATTTTAATTTTCGTTTAAAAAAGTTAGAGTGCATACTAAAAGTGTCAATAATTTTTTAAAAGTTAGAGTGCATACTAAAAGTGTCAATAATTTTTTATTAATGTGTAAACAAAAAAGTTATTAAAAAGGTAGCGGTTTCTCAATTTAAGTATATAGTGGATAAGACACTTATTATATTCTTTAATGTTGTCGATATTGATATTAGGTCACGGTCGTCGTTAAATTAATTTAATTAGAAAAAGATTAATTTCCTTAGTTGTTCCACGTGTCATCTCCCTTGTGTTTTTTTGTTGTTTCTTTTAAACATTGCACCATAATTTGAGATACGTAAGAATTCAAACATACGAAGAAAGTTGAAACATAACATTACTAATAATAATTTGATGATAATGAAAATTAGTTTATAAATGATCAACAGTTGATTAATCAAAAATTGACTTATGTAAAATAAAAATGAATGGTTGCATTTTAAGTTTTTTAACAAGGAGGACAATTAGGGTTTTATAATTCATGCATAAATTCCACATTTAATACAGAGAAGAGATTTGGTGTTAATAAGAAAAAAAACAAAAATGATCGCTGAAGACATCATTGATGGTAAATATATAAAAATTTGTTGTAATTTGAAAATTTTACAAATATTCTAACACGATTTATGTTTAAATCCCAAAAAAGGGATGCCATTTTTTTTTTTTTTTTGAAAGGCCTAAATAGAAAGGGCTGGGCCGTAAGTTCTGGCGTTGACCCTAAGTGGGCCGTAGGTACTTTTGGGCCGCTTTGGGCCAAATCACCATGGATATTGGGCTCAGAAAATCGTCGAAGCCCAATCCCAAGGTTAAGCGAGTAGTCGAAGCGCGAATCTGCCCCGTCGCCTGCCGCTTTTGCTTTTGCCGGCGTAACGACAGCTTCTGGTTCAACCAAAAACCCTGCCACTGCATAAACCCTAGAGGAACCTCTCTAAAATCGTTCTCTCGGCGAATCAATGGCCAAGTTATCCAGCCTTAGCTCCGGCAACAACGACAAGAAGAACCAGAAGAAGAAGAAGAAGAAGAGTTCTGGTCCGAAAGCCTTGGCGATGAAGGTCAGTGCTCCGAAGCCGAATCCTTTTGAGAGCATTTGGTCTCGTCGGAAATTTGACGTTCTTGGGAAGAAACGTAAGGGAGAAGAGCGTCGTATTGGCCTTGCTCGTTCACACGCCATTGAGAAGGTAGCCTCACTTGATAATTGTTGTAAATTGACGCGAGTGTATTTTCTTCCATCAGTTTCGTTGTTGAGATTTTTCTTGTGTGTGTTTTTTGCGGGGGCAGAGGAAGAAGACGCTATTGAAGGAGTACGAGCAGAGTGGCAAGGCTACAAAATTTACCGATAAGCGAATTGGGGAGCAGGACGAAGAGCTTGGGGAGTTTGATAAGGGTATTTTGCGTTCGCAGCGTGAACGGAAGGTGAATACGTTGGTTTGCTTTGGAGCATTTGTTTCTGGCATTGTTTACCTCTATCTGTTCTGATAGCATTTTTCTTTTAGCTAAAACTGAACAAGAGTAGCAAATATAACTTATCTGATGGAGAAGAAGATGATTATTTTGGAAGTCAAAGTCTTGGTGCGTTAACTGCAAGTGATGATTTTGAGGATGAAGTAATGCCGGATGACGACGACGCGGCAGCTGCTGAAACAAGGAGTACGTGCAAAACTTTTGTTCATGTATCATTGTAAAGAAAGCTTGCTTTATTAATTTTTCTTCCAAATGCTGCCATCATTTATCTCCTTCCAATGTCGTCTTTTTGTTTAGTTCGTTATTTGGGAATAGATGACCGAACTTAGTTTCTTATCTTTGGTAACCCGTCTGTTTTGTTCCATATTAACTTATTCTTTTGTTTTGTATATATATATGTATATATATATATTTTTGAGATCTCATTAATGCTACTCATTGTACCATACAGAAGTTCCTTTTCATGATGCACAGTATCAGCAAAAAGGTGGTTTATTAGAAGGAGAGGAAACTGTGAGATTCTTTGCTATCTAATTTTTCTTCTTTTTTATGTTATTGTATGATATGTGGACAAACTGTTGTAACTTTCATGCTTGCAACACACATGAATGTTGTATGATTTTTTCCTTTCAGAAAGTTGTAGCTGAAATTTTATATTTCTCTCCTGTTTTAATTTCATTCTCCCTTTTTACATGGAGGAAAAATTTATTTTCTTCCTGTTGTAGCACGCTCACCGGTACCCCTGTTTATAAGACATGATTACCATTTCTCTTGAACTTTAGGCTGTGCTATAGGTTTGAACATTTGCATGTGTTTGGATGTCTGACCTTGTTGCAAGTATGTTCGTATATGCATATGTATACATGTTTCAGGGCATTGAGTATTTTCTAAATCAATGATCTTAATTTACAGAAGCGCAAAAGCAAGAAGGAAGTGATGGATGAGATTATTGCAAAGAGCAAATTTTTCAAGGTGGGGATTTTTTTTTTCCACTTCAGTTACAATATATACGAACGTTTTCTTTTTTTCTTTTTTTTTGAGAAGAAACAATTTTAATATACGAATGTGGATACTTTTCTTTATCTTTCTCAGGCACAAAAAGCAAAGGATAAGGAAGAAAATGAACAACTAATTGAAGAATTGGACAAGAAGTTTGAATCATTGGTCCAGTCTGAGGCATTGCTATCACTCACTGGATCTAGTAATCCAAATGCCTTGAAGACTCTTGTTCAAAAGAGTATTACGAATGAGAACCCAAAGAAGGATAATTTGCCTGCTGCTGCAAAAACTGGAAATTTTAATCAGGTAATTTATTGTATGTCTGAATCAGTGTTTTCGAGGCGCAAGGCGCACCTCAAGGCGACAAGCCCTTTGATCGCCTTGAGGCGAGAGGCGATACAAAGGCGACGCCCGAGTGAAGCGAGGCGCACCTTAATAAATAAATAAAARTTATATATWTAGTGCATAAATTTATATAGTAAACATAGTTTAAAAAATAAATACYAAAATARTGTCATRGTAAATGTCAACAAGATACATAAAACAACMAAATGCAATAAGTTTAGTCAGAGACGGGAGCGGCGACGGTGATGATCGGAGACGGGAGTGGGCGATGGCCGAAGATTGAGGGTGGTGAAGGTGAATGTCGAGAGGCAGAGAGAATGGTTAGGGTTTGTGGACTGAGGTATTTTGCGAGGGAGAAAGGTTCTTTTAAAAAAAACACATTAAAAATTAAAATAAAATAAAATAAATAAGGCAGATCGCCTCACTTCAACGAGGCGATCGCCTGGCCTCAGGCGAGAGGCGCACAAAGGCTCACCGAGGCGCACCGAGGCGAGCGCCCCACCTTGCAAGGCGCACCTGTGCGAAATCGCCTCGCCTCTCGCCTGAGGCGAGCGCCCGGGTGCGCCTCAACAACACTGGTCTGAATTCCACCAAGTTGATTCTGCTGTTCTGATTATCAGTCTTCTCCCATCCTCTTATTAATTTTTGTATTTAGTAAACAGCTTCAGGACTTCATTGTGTACTCTGCATTCATTTTCCTCCTCTGGTCATGTTTCAATTTCTGTCTGTGTTACTAACCTATAAATTTCATTTTTTTTCTTCTAATTATGACTTTTTTCATGTAATGCTGGACTGTTTAGAATGTTGTAAGTGTCAGAAGATTAAGTCTTCTTTCTGCATGATGCAGGAAAAACCTGATGCTTTTGACAAGCTTGTTAAAGAGATGGCAATGGAAATACGTGCACGCCCCTCTGATAGGACAAAGACACCTGAAGAAATTGCCCAGGAGGAGCGAGATCGGCTTGAGCAATTAGAGGTATTTTAGTGTCTTTCTTTTTTAATTTTATAAAATATTAAAATTTTTAATTATGTGATGGAATTCTTGATTTTCTAATGCGAGCTTTCTTCTTTCCATCTAATGTTCAAGTCATGTTTAGGTGAAGTAAAGCAGAGTAGTTTAGTGGCTATTTGAGTGAATAACAGATAATGGGTATCTGCGCTTTTGTAGTTTACGGGTGCATTGTCATCCATAAGCTTCGATAGAGCAAGCACTGTTAATGATCTTCTATCTATCCTGTGATTGGAATTATATTTTATCCACGTTTTTGTAAGTTCCTGTATGTCTGTGCAAACATTTTCTAGCTTACAAACTATAATGGATTGTAAAATATAGAACAAATTTTTAGTTATTAGTAAGCATAACTGTTCATCCTTCTTGTGGGTGATATACGTAATCATCTGCTGATGTTCGAGAATTTTACTTTTCTGCTTACAAACTATAATGGCATCTCACTTTCCAGGAGGAAAGACAGAAACGGATGCTTGCGTCAGATGGTAACTCTAGTGACGAAGAAGATGAAGATGCTGAAAATGCATCTGTACAAAAGCGAAAATTTATCTCTGGGGATGATCTTGGCGATTCATTCACACTTGATGATGAGCGCAGTCATAAGAAGGGTTGGGTTGACGAGATTCTTGAAAGAAAGGATGCTGATGGCACTGAAAGTGAAGATGATGATTCTGCAGATGATTCAGACAGTAGTCATGATGATAGGGATGAGGATTCTGATGATGAGTCTGAGGAAGATGATAGCATTCATGGAATGAAACATTCTTTAAAGGATTGGGAACAGAGTGATGATGACATTCTTGACACTAATTTAGAAGATGATGATGAATCAAGTGGAGGAGAAAAAGAACCGGATGAGGACCACCCTAAAGAGGAAGAGGTTGATCATGAAGGCCCTCAAAAGGCATTCAAAAATGCTGCTGCTAAAAGTAGTAAAAGTACTGGACACTCTGAAGAAGCTAAGAAATTAGAAAAGGATACAAAGCGTAAAAGTAAAGAAGAAATTCCTTATATAATTGAAGCTCCAGAGAGCTTTGACCAATTTTCGTCATTATTGGCTGATTGTTCAAATAGTGACATAATCTTGATCGTTGGTCGAATTCGGGCTAGTAACGCTATCCAGTTAAAAGAAAAAAATCTGGAAAAAATGCAGGTATGTTATTTATATTTTTATGCTCTCGCATAACACATCAACTTCTTTGTTATGAAAATCAACTGGTTTATGCGTTTTTGGTAGAAGATCCAAGTTACATTAAATAATGTATGCTGGGACTTCTCTCAAAGTAACATGTTTACCAGAATTCAGAAACACATTGAAAGTTATTAATATATTAAAAAAGACATAATAGGCTATTGATTGAAACTACTTGGGAAATATGCATGTATAATTTAATTTTAGTTTAGTTTCATTTCTTCCTCTTCTCAATCTAGGCTACTATAAATGGAGTTTCTTCATTACCTTGGTGTTTACTAGGAAACAAGTTTAATTACTCCTGAGTTTTGTGCTCATTGATTAGGTGCATGAACGTGCCTTTATTAATTTTTTTGATGCATCGCTAAAATTTCTAGAAACTTGGTGTTTATTAAAAAGTGAAAATTGAGTTGTGGTCATAGACGAGTCTTGAGTGGTCATGAATGCATCTAAGTTTCTATTACTTTCGTCCTCTTAGTGAAAATTTAGTTGCTTTTTTATGTTAAAATCTTCATAATTTTTGTAAATAATAAGCTGTGCTTTCATTGAGAAAAGATGAAAGAGAATAAAGACAGAAGGGGCATATATAAAGCCTGCAAAAGGAGCTCCAAGGTTAACTATACAAGAAGCGACTTTAATTTAAAATAATAAGACCTAAAAAAATAAGAACAAAACTCCATAGTAATTGATGTCCAAACAAAATTAAACCGAGTAAGTGAGCACACTATCTCCGATGACCTCTTGACCCCTAAAAATTCAGTTGTTCCTTTCTAGCCAAAGACCCCAAACTACAACCAAAAAATTGGCTTGGCACACTTGGATGCTTCCGATAGGCACTTAATGTCCACCAACAATGCAATTGATTTCTCCTCTTTGTTTGTAACATATAAATATGTTCTCTTGAAATATTAATGTCCAGTCTAACAATTGGTATTAATGGTCCTTTCAGAGATTCTATGGCATACTTTTGCAATATTTTGCTGTATTAGCAAATAAGAAGCCATTAAACGTGGAGCTACTAAGTTTGCTTTTCAAGCCATTGATGGAAATGAGTATGGAGATTCCTTTCTACGCTGCAACGTGTGCTAGGATGAGGATATCCCACACTCATCAACAATTTTGTGTTCATAATAAGAATCCAGGTTCTTGTCGAATGTAATTTATTATTAACTTGTCAAATAATAAGAATCCAGGTTACTTTTGTGTAATCAATTATTTGCTTGGTCGTTTTGGTATATGCACCTAAATACCTATGTACATAACTGAATCGCAAATGTTCTTGCAGAGAATAGCTCGTGGCCTTCTTCAAAAACTCTGATCCTCTTGAGGTTGTGGTCAATGATATTTCCTTGCTCTGACTACCATCATGTAGTCATTACGCCAGCAATATTGTTGATGTGTGAATATTTGATGCGTTGCCCCATTGTAACGGGACGAGATATTGCAGTTGGCTCTTTCTTGTGTTCTCTGCTTCTCTATGTATGCTAATCTAATTAGTATTTCCTTCACATTATCTATTTTAATTTTCACATTTTCTTAGTGTGCTTTGTTTTGTTTACCTGTTATTTTTCAAGGATTACATTTTCTGCCTTGTTCTCAAGGGAAGCTCCATTTTAAAATGTAGGTCGCCAGACAATCTTTGAAGTTCTGTCCTGAAGCAATAAACTTTCTCCGAACTCTGTTGGTCGTAGCTGGTGGTAGAAGGTCATTATCCTCTCAAAATCCGCAGGTATACCATAAAGTTTATTGCCATTACTTTTTGGTCGAGTCTTTCCTCTTCTGTTCAAGAAATTCCGTTTTCTTAATAGGCTCAACTCTGAGGAGAATTTATAGTTAGTATAACTATTGATAATGACCATTATACACAATTTATTTTCCGGCAGATTTGTCATCTAGTGGATTTACAAGCTCTTGGACCGTTGCTGCATATACAGAATCCTATAAACGAGATTACTCCCCTGAACTTCTTCTTTATTATGGACTTGACCGAAGATTCTTCTTTTTTTAGCTCCGACAATTTCAGGTACCTTTTTTTTTTTGGGGGACTGATCGGCGTGGAGATACTTCTTCAATGAGAACTGAATATCTGTTTGATTACATATGAATATATTTTGTGTAATCAGTGAAGATGTCAATTTCACATCTTCCAACAATAGCGTAAAGGTTGGTCTTTGAAACTGCAGGGCTGGGTTGCTGTTGACAGTTATTGGAACTCTCGAAGGATTTGTTAATGTATATGGTCGATTGAATTCCTTCCCCGAAATCTTCTCGCCAATTTTGACAATTTTACATGAACTGGCACAACAGGAGAGCATGCCAGCTGTATTACAGGATAAATTCAGAAATGTCGCTAAAGTCATTGAAGCCAAAACGGAGGAGCATTATAATGGGCGGCAACCTCTTAGAATGAGGAAGCAAAAGGCTGTGCCAATCAAACTACTTAATCCAAAATTTGAGGAGAAGTACTTTCCTTTCTTCTATTTTCTCATAATATTATTCATGCCCTCATGGTACTCAAACAGAAACCTGGATCTGTGCACTAATTGTTGCTATTTCTTCCCCAGCTTTGTTAAGGGCAGAGACTATGATCCAGATCGAGAACGATCTGAAAGAAGAAAGCTGCATAAACTTATTAAACGTGAAGCTAAAGGGGCGGCCCGTGAACTACGCAAGGATAACCATTTCTTGTTTGAGGTGAAGGCCAGAGATAAGGCACTGCAGGAAGAAGAAAGAGCGGAAAAATACGGAAGGGCAAGAGCTTTCCTTCAAGAACAAGAGCACGCCTTCAAATCTGGGCAGTTGGGAGGAAAAGGAAGGAAGAGAAGGAAATGAAACTTGTGAATCCAATCCTTGTTGCCTGACTTGTGTTTCATGGTCACGTAGAGTGACAAAGAATGCACATCATCTGCAATACTCAACTCTGCGAAGAAAGCGGCCACCATAGAATCAATCGAATCCATTCGCATCCCTGGCCATATAACTACATGGAATCAATCAAAATCTTGGTAAGAGCTAATATTTATATTTATAGTATTCATTTCTCATCCATTTCACTGATTAGCTTCATAAGTATGAAGCCTCTCTCTGATTTTGATTAGTTTCTTTATGTATACTTATGGAATACAGTTTATTAGGATAGGTCTTAGATGAATGTAAGGGAACCAAAAAGTAGGGATATCCTTTGCGAAAAAAAAAAAGAAAAAAAAAACAGGGATATGGCCATATGAGAATGATTTATGAAGATTAATTCCATTGAAATCAAGATCTGCATCTGCCAAAAAATGTATTCTTCTCAGTTCTCACATACATCAGGATTCAGTCTCCAGTTCACAACCAATCTTTCAAAAACATGGCCGATTAAATTGCTACTTTGTTAGCACAATTTTTTTCATGTGAGAAATAAGTTTAAACTTTTCCTCAGCTTCCACCTGCTGGCGTATGTCTGTTCTTGACACACGATCTGGATGAAATTTAAGCAATGCCTTCTTATATGCTGCCTGGATCTGAACCACAACGGAAACTATAAATAAAAATATGCTCTACCACGAGGTTATTATTTATTTCGAGAGGCCGTTCCAATGTGGCTAGTAATTTTACATTGCTGATGTACGGTACAAGAACTAAAAAAGTATTTTGAATTTATATCTTGTCGTTATTAGGAGACATGCAGATTTTTGGGTCTAATCCAATAGTTTGTTATCTATCATAGTTTAACCAGGACGTACAATTCTTTAATATCCAAAATGCTTATAGAAGAGGCAATTAATCAACATTATTTTACCTCTTGTGAGGAAGGATGTAAGCCAGTTCCAACTTGAATGCCCAGGCCACGTAACAAGGAGGCCATATCAGTGCACTTCATTTCCACCTTTCTAAGCTCTTTTCTTACATCAACACGAAATTGTTCCTTCAAGTTTATATTTTCCTCATCCTGAAATAGGCAAAATGTTCTATGAGAACTGGAAGATTTTTACCCAACAGTCAACTCTGCAGGATGGTAAAAATCTAGCCAGGATCTATAAAAGACCGAAGAACAACCCTGAATTACTTTGTAGTAAGGTCATGCAGTTATACTTGTTGGTCACCTATCTAGGATTTAATATTCTATGAATTCCTTTGGTAACTAAATGTAGTAAGGTCATGCAGTGTTATACCAACGAATATCAATAAAAAAATATAAGGCTGAATAATGCATAACAAGTATACAAAAATACTTTCTTTCGTGTCTCTCTCACTTCTTCCAATCGTTTCATTTGCCTTGTATGCATGTCTAATAGCTGCATTCTATCCGCTTTTCTTTTTCTGCGCAATTTTCGTGCTTCTTCAGCCTGTAAAATAGTGGTGGGTGAAGTTTAGAGGCACTATACTCTTAAAAAAACCCATCTATAGAACAAAACAAGGATAAATAAGTTTTAACAAATAGTTATCCAAACACATTTTCACGAAAAGATTAAACTCAACTTCCAAAGAGGCCTTAGAATGGCAGACAAACATACTGGTCTCAACCTGATTCAACTTATTACAATTAATTCAATGCCAAATGCAGAAGTTGGTGGGCATCACAAGATGTTAAGAAGCAAAGGGAATAAAGAGTATAAAGTCCAAGGATTCTCAACCACAATTCTTTATTATCATTAAAAAAATCTTCATAACATGCAGGAGACTAACAAACAAACAAACAATCTCAAATCAAAATTACTGCATCAAAATGTGCAACACAGAGCCCTAGAATTCTAGATTTTCTGTGGTTTATAAGATGCATGTGATTGCATTGTAATAAGAGGATCAATAACGCATGAAAAGACCTGAATTTGTAACTGTTGTTTCCTAGTTCTCCATTCTTCTTCCATTGCTCGCCTATACTCATCAGTCTCTTTCAACCTCTCTCTTTCAAATCCTATCCCTCACAGCTTGGGATGGAAGAGGAATATTTTCAGATGAATTTCTCTCTAATTCAGGCAGCAAACAACAGAAATCTCCTGCATTTTCAGGACCAGAACAAACTACCACTTCAGATTGCAACTTCATTTCGTTTTCTACATCAAAATTTGTATCAGAATCAACCTGAGAAGCAGAGGCCATATCTTAATCATGAAAAACAAAGAAGAAAACAGAGAGGGATAAAATTTTTATACTAATCCACCCAACTAGACCATTAACCCTAAAAAAGCTTTAACGGAGGTCAATTGACTCACTAGCCCGCGTTCCTTGTAAATACAAGGCACTAAGTGTCACGACCCTTAATAAATGGCACTACTATCGAAGCCGAAGAACTGAAATTAATAATTCACCATATTTGAACACTAAGCTTACACTAATTTACAACAGTTTTCTCCTCGGAGAAGCTTCGAAAGACCGTTCCATGAATTAATGATCAAACTCTCGCTATCCGCAGCTTCCAATGGCGGCGGCGACGAAGAGAGGCAAATTTTCATTGTTGAGAACTTTGGAATGCGGAATTACAGCAAACAACGCAAGGTTTGGGAACACCATTTTCTGAGGATTGAAGATGAACTCTGAGTTTTATAAATTAGCATCTTTACATTTTCTTTAATATATTATTCTAACAAAATTATTTTAGTTAATTTAAACAAATTATGTTTACAATATTTCATTTCTTCAATTTTGAACCTTACAACAATTTATCCAAATTTCCCATGAAATTGAACAGGAAATATCAATTCTAAGGGAAAATTCATAGTACAGTAATATATAGATAAGTATTTTTTTTCTCTTTTTTGCTTAATTCCTATATGTTACTGGACCCGCTCTCCTCTTAATCATCGAGAGGCAAATTCCCAACAAAAATATCCCAAAGTCAATTTTATGAAAATGTTGATAAAAATATTTTTTTTTAAATTAATTTCAATGAATATTTTTAAAAAATTATAAAAATAAGAATTCTTTAACAAGATAAGTGAGATTAAGTTGATATTTTTTAATTTTTAACAATACTATTAAAACATTGATTCATTAATAATGTTGAATTCATACATAAAAATGTTGATGAAAATGTGGAGAAGCTACATTTAATACCCTGCATTCTAGTCTAGTAGTCAATGAAACCATCATCCAATTCAACTGACTTAAAGCATGCAAACAAATTAAAATCTACCAATCTAGAGTAGAGAAGAGAAGCAAGTCGAAGAATCCATGTAAATTTTTTGTATTTCTGTAACACTCCCTCCGTTCATACTATAAATTTTCCTTCCTAAATAATTCTTGAATCCCATATCATTCTTTTTTCTAAAATAATGTTAATATGATAACAAATAAATGATAGTAGTAACAATTATAACCTTCATGTTGATTTCTATGACTAGTAACCCCAAAAAACAGAACAAAATATAAATATAGGAGCTGCCTATAAATATGATGTGCCAACTAAAAATATATAACATTAGCCTGAACGATATCAAAATAATATCTACGAGAAAACCGAAAAAAAGGGGCCATTCAGTTGCAACTTTTCATTAGCACATAAATTTTTTCTTCATGTGGGAAATAAGTTTAAATTTCTCCTCAGCCTCCACCAGCTGACGTATGTCTGTACTCGACACTCGATCGGGATGAAATTTGAGCAACGCCCTCTTATATGCTACTTGCACCTGAACCACAACCACCAACCACACTGAAAAACTAAAGAAAGCAATGGAGATTCAACACTTAACAAGCCATATCGTTGCTTACTGAAGCCTAAAAGTAACAAAGTTATTCAATCTTTCATCACTTCAACTAATATCAGTGTATTTATATATATTATAATACAATCTCATTCGGTAGTCTTGGATTGGATTGTTTAACATTTAGAGGTGTTCTTCCTTCCTTTTGGGACTGCAGTAGTGTGTGTAGAAGAGGCGCCTCAGTGGATCTTGACCATATTCTATTGTCTTGCCAGTTTGCACGGGATTTACATGATCATTTTTTTTACTTGGGGGTCTTTGGCTCATAAAGGGCGACAATGGAGGAGATGTTATTGTCCCTTAGGATAGATGGTTTTAGTGTCAGAAACTGTTTCCTCCTGGCTACTTTATCGAGTATCTGGCTTGATAGAAACAATAGAATTTTTACGAGTGGAGAGATCTAGAGAGTATGTTTAGAATATTATTAGATTCAATACTTTCCTATGGGAGTCGGTTTCTAAGGCATTTTGTAATTATCAATTAAGCGTTATTCTTTTGGATTGAAGTTCCTTCCCAAGTGGTGTCCTATCGTTTTTTTTTTTTTAAGAAACAATTTCATTGCCGTATGAAATTAAAGAGTGGTCCATAAGAGGGATTACGGGAAGATTTTCCAGCTGTATAATAGAGTAGAAAAGCTATAGTTGTGAAAGAGAGGACAACATTTACTGTTTTTTTTTGTATGCCCTTGTTCACTTTTACATTTCTCTTGATGAAAGCTCGGTTACATTAATATACATATAATACAACCTAACAACAGCGATAGAGATATCCTTGTATATGAGGTCTAATTTCAGATATATTCTTCCAAGAACTTGAACTAATTCCACCTTTCATTCCCTTTATGAACCAACCCAAGTTCAATTTCCACTATAGACTCTGCAATATCTTTATCCAGAATATAGTAGATACATTGTGTAAACTCCATGGTCATTTCGCCATTATAGCTAGGTCTTCCCATTTTCTCAAGTATCTAATTCCCAGTCCTCCCTTCACCAATGGCAGGGAGATGATGTCCCACTTACCCAAATGGCTCAGTTTCCTTCCAAATTAGCGTCCCAAAGAACATCCCTCATCATTATTTCTATGCTTACTTCCAGTTTTCTTGACATTTGAAAAGACTGATATAGGGTTCCTGTGTGACTGTGTCTCAAACCCCTTAATGATAATACTCTCTTTCTAGGTTTTCCATTGAGATACACAGAAAAATTCGTGCCTGGAATGCAGCAACTTTTAATCCACTTCACCAATCAACTCCTAACGCCTTAGACATAACTTTATATAATCCATTTACCAGGCTGAGTGATCTAAAACCGCTTACTTGAATTCCATTATTTGCTTCACCAAGGAATGAAATATGAAGAACTGATTCAACTGAGTTGAAGGAATGAGAATCACTCATACCCCCCAAAGTTGATAAAACTCTCACATAAATATACTAATATGCATGAGCACAGTGTTTTCACTATTTTACTTATTGGATAAAATAAAGTACTCAGTTAATTATGTCTATACTCACTGAAGAGCAAATTACGAAACTTACCTCTTGTGAGGAAGGATGTAAGCCACTTCCAACGTGAATTCCCAAGCCACGTAACAAGGAGGCCATATCAGTGCACTTCATTTCCAAAAAACTAAGCTCCTTTCTCACATCTACACGAAGTTGTTCCTTCAAGTTTATATTTTCCTCATCCTGAAATAAGCATGATGTTCAATGAGAAGAAAAACATAAATTAAAAATTATGAGTTCTGATAAGTATATGTAAGCAGTTCGCCCAAGCCGAATAGCCTCCCTTAATTGATTTGGAAAGGGAAAAAATAACTTATAAAACAGACAAAGTCAATCTGGAGTATATTTTGGAAAAACAAAAATTAGAACATTTCCACGACCCAACATTGCATGATGGTTAAAGTCTATAGCCAGAAACCAAAAGGCTGAAGAACAGGATAAAATGTAACAAGCATAAGTATACACAAATACCTTCTTCTGTGTCTCTCTCACTTCTTCCAAACGCTTCATTTGCCTTCTTTGCATGTCCAATAGCCGCATTCTATCCGCTTTTCTTTTTCTGCGTAATCTTTGCGCTTCTTCAGCCTGTAAATTAGTGGTGTGTAAAATTTTGGGGGCTATTTGGGAAATTCTTACCATGACCAATTTTCAACTTGATTTTATAGAACTGGTTTTAAGAACTTATCTAATTCCATCTAAAACATATTATTGCTGTGTACCTAAAATCATATTTTCCAAAAAAATAAGAACTTACTAGCCCCCATCTATGAGAACAAAATAAGGGGAGATAACTTTTAGAGGGATGAACACAGAAACATGTCCTTAACCATTGATATAAGACTTTGGAGTCAATCATGGAAAAAAATGTATTGTCTCCCTTGATAACTTCTTAAACCAGTTTGTCTTCCATGCATAAATAAACTGTTCCAAGTTATCCTCAATCACATAAACTTCAGATATGAACTCCTACCCCCAAGCAATTGATTATCTCACATCGTGACAACTAGTTCCTACTTTATCTTTATCTACTTTAAGAGCACGCATCTCCCAAAATGTAAAGCTGATGCAACCCAACATCAAATAGCCTAAACTCCATGAATTCTCAACCACAAGTCTTTATTATTATAGAAAAGCTTCGACTCTCAGTTATTAAAAGAAGTCTTCCTAATATACAAGGAACTATCCCTCTCTGTTAGTCCTCTAAGTAAACCAACTACTAACAAACTAACTAACTAAAAACCAATTAGCAACTAAAAACAAACAAACTCAAATCAAAACTACAAGATTGCACTGCATCAAACAGAGCCATGCAAATCCCTTGATTTTTAGATTTTCCTAAGTTTCTAAAGTAAATGACATTTTGTGTAATAGGATCAATTCATGCCCAGACCTGAATTTGTAGCTGTTGTTGCCTAGTTGTCCATTCTTCTTCCATTGCCCGCCTGTATTCATCAGTCTCCTTGAGCCTCTCTCGTTCACAAATTATGTCCTTCACATCAAAGGATGTTATAGGACTCTTTTCAGCTGAAATGCCCTTTATTTCGGTCAACAAAGGAGAGCCATCATTTCCATCAGTTTGAGGACTAGGACAAACTTGAACTTCACATTGCTGCTTCATTTGATTTTCTACATCAAAATTTGTATCAGAATCATCACCATGAGAAGCAGTGGCCTTATCTTCATCATCTACTGTGAAGTAAGCACTGCGGGCATCATGTTTTCTCCTCAGAGAAGCTTCTTCCCACTGTTTTTGGAGCTTTTCAAAAGACCCTTCCATAACTTCACAATCAGAACTATCACTCTCCGAGGAACTGCTGTGAGAACCAATATGTAAACCAAAACGATTTCTAGCAGTTGCTTTCCCATAGTTTCTTTGCCTACACTTCCCCATCAAAAATGCATAATGTTTTCGGCTTTGTCGACCATCTAACTCAACAAAATGCCGCCCAGAGGATGACGGGAAGGTTCTTGAAGGTGAGCAGGCATCGTCGTCCGAGCTGCAACCATCTACATATATATATAATGGACTTTTTCTTCTTTCTGTTGCTACATTGGACCCTTGAAATTCCTTATTTACACATTCAGTATCATCTATGATGATAACATCATCCAACCTATAGCTATCAACATCTATAAAAGCAACATTTTCATGACTGCCCTTTGCCATTTTTCCACTAAATCAATTTGTCTCCTTCACAAAATTATGCATAACAGACACAGCCCTTTTTCTGATAGAAAACACAGAGAGCCCTAATCTTCCGCGAAGCAAAATATAAAAGAGAAGAAACGCTAACAAATCCAATATCAAAGAAATCACCAAATACAAAGTCTACACCATGGATACCAGATCTCTCTTCACCTCCATTCCTGTGCCCTATATAAGAAATAAAACTGAACGTCATAATAGAAAACATGTAACAAATATAAAAAGACTAGGAAAAATAAAAAATATAAATAAAAAAATTGTCAGAAGTTGACAAACTGTGAGCTTTTTTTTTTGGCGGTGGATATTACTGAATGAACTGAGAAATACAATGTATCATGTACATGGTTTCATTTATCCTGGATTTCTATTGTATTCAAAGAGGAGTCCTTTACTCTAGTTTTCTCTTTAATTAAAAGAAAATTATCCAAGGAATCGTCATTAGAACAAGAAGAAAATATCCTTGTTAAATGAGTTCACAAAATAAAAAACTGAATACTCAAAATCATTACTAAAAATAATCATATAAAGATATACAATACAAGTTCAAGCCCCAATGGGCGACTCTTTTGGCAAGAGCTTGGGTTCTCTTGGTCATACCGACTTAGAGATCTCAACTTCGAACTTTCGAGTGAGCTTAATACAAAAAACCCTTTAATTTCTCCCAAGTCAAGGCCTTGTGGCAGACGTGGATGCCCTAGGTATAGAAAAATTTGACATTCCATAACTTTGTAAAGAGCTAAAGATCTGTATGTTATATAACATAGCAGAAATAATTGTACGAGTATAATTAGACTTCAACTTTTATACGTTCAAGAATACAAACCAAAAATCGTCTGCAAAGTTAATATCCAAACTCCCAAGTATCTAAAAGTGTAATCACCAGATACTTTCTTCCTCGGCATCACGTTTATTCATTCCACATCCATAATTCTCAACCCCCATAGTGTCCATTTGTTTGCTAAACGAACGAAACTAGGAAAAGGGGGGAAGCAAAGCCTTAAAGATTCATTTCCCTTGAATAGTCCTATGAACGCTATACAACCTTCAACAATCTATGAAATCATAGGAACTATAAAACAATCTGCAAGAAACATTACAATCAAGAAAATGGGGGGAAGCAAAAACCTAAAGAATGAAACACAAGGACCGAGACGGGAAAAGCACGAAGCAAGAAAGGGATTTGCAGATTGAGGCAGAATCAAACAAAATTCAATAAATTAGGTCAGATGGGCAACGCACAGAGGAGAGAAGAGGGATGATACGCATACCTCAGACGGAGGATGGGGAGCTGCCGCCGACGGAGAGGAGAACTGGGTCGATCGTGGGTTGCCGACGGGAGAATCGAATGCTTCATTTTTTCTTCAATTTGATTACTTCAATTTATATTTTTTCTGTGTGCGCGCTGCGGTGGCGGTGGTGGGTGGGAAGACAAAATTTCATTCGTGGATCGTGTTTCTGAAACTTTGACTGACTTCAAATTTTCCTAATTCAGTAGTGTAAGAAAGCTTGTCGAGAAAGACTTGGGTTTCGATTTTGTTCATCAAACTTATGCAAATTTCGTTCTTATCATTTTGGTTTGGTTCTTATATTTTTCAATTTACAATTTAACCTTTGATTTTAATTTTTCTTTATAGTATTTTTTTTATTCGTAAGTGTCAGATCAACTAATGCACGAACCAATTTACTATTTAATTTGGTATTAATTTAGTTCCTACAGATTTAAATGTTTTTATGTAGTAAGTTTAAATTTCGTGGATGTTTCTAAACTATTTTCTTCCACGTAAGAACATACTTATTTTTCTATATTTTTTGCTTTTTTATAATAAAACCAACTAAATAAAAAAATCTAAGTTGGTTGTGTAATTTCATGAATAAGAACCACGGTGAGATAGGATTAACTAAACTTTTACTTTTTAATTATAATAATCAAATTGGATATAAAATAATAATAATAATAATAACAAAATTAAAACTAAGACCAAGCTAAATTAATCTAAGATTTAAATACTTATTAAAAAAAAATTAGAAACTAAATAAATAAAATATAGTGTTTTTTTTTTCAACAATTAGATAAATATATATTTTTCTTCATTTACTAATTAATCTAACATGTGAAAATTGGTAAATAAAAATACATAATTATGGGTAGTTTTTTACACGCAAATAGAATCCCAAAGAACTATAAACTGACTTGTATATAGAAAAACGACAGTAAAAATAAAAAAAATTAATTAATTAAGTTCAACAATCGCCCTAAATCACCCTAAAACTATTAAGTAATAGAATCCGAAAGAGAGACTAAATAGAAAGCCAAAAAGTAGAAATTGATGATTATGTCTCAAATTATTGCCAAATATGCCTTATGCTCCTCCCTCCACCGGAGCCAAGAGAGTTTTTTTATTTTGTTTATTCTCAAACTTCTAACATCTTCCACAAGATGTAATCAGTGCGAAAAAGAATGAGGAGAAGAAGAAATAAAAAGATTAGAAAAAAATACATATTAACATGGGCATTATTGTAAGTTACATTGGACTTCTCAACCAAAGACTAGAAAAAATGAAAATATTTATAAATTTGGACCACTTTTCAAATTGGGATCACAAATGGATTATTTTACTATACTTATATTTTTTTTCTTTTTTAATTTCAAATTTGTGTTGGGCTGAAGTTCAGTTCAGAACTTGGGCCAACAAGTTTACATATCTATTTTCCAGCCCAACATCTAAGTAAAACAAGAAATTGGGCCCCATATTTAAACCAATTCCCAATATACTTACTAGTTTCAAACAAAACTAAATGAAATAAAACATTAAAGGATTATTTTCAATCGAAAGACAATTTAAATTCTCAAAAGTCAGCTAATTCAATGTATTTTTTAATACTAACACGTAAATTTCCTTAATTAGTTGAGTTATACCTGAGTTGACTTAATACAATCGTATTAGTTACGATTAAATGAACTTTAATCCACATTTTAAACAACTTTAATATTGATTTTCATATCAAATAATCAAACTATTACAAAAACGAAAGATAGATATAGAATATAGTTTACGAAATAAACATAGAGAAAGCACTATAAAACCAAATTTTATATATATATCATTAATACCAGAATTACCACTTGGTTTATTTGTAATATTTTGCTCTACAACATAGCGAGATTCAAACATTGATGGAATGTAAAAGGATTCTCTATAACCAAAATGTACATTAGGTGTAGAAGAAGTAGAGTCGCTATCAATTGATTGTTTCGATTTCGATTCTGGTACACTGATCCAACCGGGGGAAGATGTATTTTGCAATTTTTTTGTTTACTTCAATAACATGTGGAGATGAGATTCGTATTTCAAATCTTTTGATCGATGGTAAAATTTTATAGATTATGTCATAATCTTTTAAAATAATTTTAAATCCGCTTTATGATTTGTAAATTTTATGAGTACTGATAATGATATTCTTTTATTAATTAGAATGAGAGTCACGGCATCGATCATAACAATATTTAAAACTATATTTTAAAATACAAGTCTAGGACGATTTATAAGTTTTAAAACTACTAAGAGGAGTGTAGTTTTGTAATAATTATCTCAAATTGGTAAGATGAATAAACCCTCGTTAGTTAACGATCAAACTTGTCATAATAAAGTAATTTACATTATTCATTCTTAGACCATTTTATCAATAAAAATTAAATTACAAACTTCTATCTGATTAGTCACTAAACTTAAATAGTTTAAAATATATCTCTAATCTTTTATCATAAAATAGCATAAGCCAACAAGTACCCTTCGACTCTAATTTTAATTTCTCCGTCTTCGAGCATGTTTGAGAGTGTATTTGTCATTTTTCTAAATTATTTGTATAAAATTGTAATCGTGTTCTAGAAGCGATTTTAGCATAGCCAAAATCACCTTTTGTTATTGTAAAATCAATTCCATTTAAAATAATAATGTTATGCATCAGACATGTTTGGAAGAGATTTTTGCAGACGAAAATCATTTTTGTCTACATATTTCGAAACTAACTTAATTCTGCTTTGGTTTGTCTATTTTTTTTATAATATCTGTCTAACTAATCTACCAAATCACATCATTCCATCAAAATTTAATCGAAAAAGATGTCACGCTGATTGATATTAACAAGGTAAACATAAATCAAACTCTAAAAACACAATTGAAAWTTTTTAAAATAGACACAATACTCAAAATTTGTGATTGAAATTTCTTTAGAAAGAAATTAGGGTTTATGAAGGGATTTTCCATATTGATGGATATGGCTTAATAAAGAACTGCCCACAAACTGAATTCTCCATGTGGGAGAAGAATCAAATCACGCAAATGCATGCATACACAAGTTTTTATATTATCAAAAGGAAAAAAAAAAAAAGTAAAACGCATCGTTTTCAGTGATAAGAAACTGCACCCAGCACATGCTTTTTTTTTTTCCTTGAATTATATGTTTCTTTTAATATTAAAACTAGGTTAAATACATTGCATTTTTCACATTTGTGTCAAATTCATCTTCATACTTATAAAGTTTTAATTTCATTTATATTTCTACAATAACATTGTATTATCTATTTTTAACTTATACCAACAAAAACTTCATATTAACTTTGGTAGCTATCTTTTATTTATATATTTAAAATTTTTCTAACTTACATTCCAACGCTGATCTTAGACCTTTTACGAAGTTTACAAATTTGCAATTATATCTACACGTTTTCTCCGTTATAGATTAACTTTTTACTTTTTCATTTTGAGAGAGTAAGGAGTTAGAAATACGACTTTAGAACTTGACATGAGCTAAATTTATATTCATCGCAAACACTCTTCTAATTTTATACATTGTTGTAACTGTTTGTCTCAAGATACAAATTTGTTGTCACTATTGCTAACATGAACTTAGTTCAGCTATAATTGGCACTTGTCTCTCGTTGAGAAGTCATGAGTTCGAATCTTTTCACCCAACTTGTTGTACTAGAAAAAACCTTGTTGTCACTGATATTATCTACTTCAAAATTTACCGTATCTCATACTTTGACCTATCTCGATTCTCCATGTTGGACTCTTGAAATAAATAATCAATTTTTAATATATATAAAGCTTCTTTATATTCTCCTCTACCACCATGGAAGAACATTTCTTCAAAAAGTGCTCATCTTTAAGCTTTCTTCCCATAACCAAATTGCTTTCTTTCCATTCCCCTTTTTTACAGCTAAAGATTCAAAAGAACTTTGGCAAAAGCTTGGAATTTATGGCAAAAGGATTGTGAAACACCCAATTGTCTCAATTATTTGAATGAATATAATCACGTAAAGTAACCACAAAAACAACACCCATTTCGAATAAAAATCTATCTCTGAAACTATTTTAGATAGATTGTTTTTAAGAAAGACAATTTACTCCTAAAATAATCTTTTAAACTAATTAAAGAGACCGTTTTCAATAAATGATCTTAAGATTTAAATCTTATTCCCTTGGTTCATGAATTTTAAAATTTGTTTTATGGTCTATTTTGGTCTTTAAACTCTTAAAATGTCTATTTTAATCTATAAACTTAAAAAAATAATCATTTTGGCAAGTACCTCATTCCTTTCTTTAAACTAATGTATCAAGGGCATATATTGGTGCCATATAAGTTGGCTAAGCTAAATATTGGATAAAGAGATTTAAGGGCAACAAAACTATTATACAGACTAAAATAGACATTTTGAAAGTTCGAAACCAAAATAGAACAACTCTAAAAGTTCAAGGACCAAACTGCAATAATCTCGAAATACCAAAATGGGTTTGGGCCCTTGTGTAACTATCCCTGTAACTCTCTCTTTTAAGTACAAGTCTTAATCAAAATTACTTCCTTTAATGGTTTTTTTAAAAGGTTGATGTGATTTTTTAAGGAAAAACCTAAAAAAGAAAAATCTTCTACTCATATATTAGGTGTCTGTCTTGATCTGAAAGTGATGTTAAAAAGGCCACCATCACAAGTCTCTATAGACTTTGATTAATAATACCAAAAACTTCTTAAAGTTCAAAATCACTATTCTCATTCCATATTGGAGGATTCAAAATATAGAAAAAAGGTCAAGGTTCGTTATCTTTCAAAGTCTCCTTAAAAAAAAAAACCCAAAATGGGAAGCAATCAACAGGACGCTTCCATGTTGGTCCCTGTGCAAATTTCTGGAATTTTGAGCTCAATTCCAAAATAAATGTCAACCCTTCATTCTAGCCATGTTACCCCAACAAAATAAACAAACATAATGAATAAAGATAACTTCTTTAACTTTTTTTTTTTCATGTGGGCAATGGAAAGTTGAGGTTTTTTTGTTACATCAGAAAAATGAAAGCTAAAATAAGAGCCTAAGGCTTGTGTTTGGGGAATGTACAAGAAGGAACAGCAGCTGATTCTGCTCCATGCTTCTCTTTTCTTCCTATGTTGTATTTATAGTGAGGTTTGCAGTTTGAAAGGTCATTCATTTACATGTTGGGCAGGCTTAAGTCAATATGTTTTCTCATGGTTTATGACCTTATCAACCCAAAATTCACAAACGATCTAGATCTGAAAAGACCACCAAATAGGAATCTGGTTGGTGAATCCTGAGTAACTTGTTTTTGTTCTTTAGGATTGCCTTTCACTTTCAGTATTGTCTGCCCGATTACTTCTCGAATGGAATCTATCGTCTTCGAATCGACTGGATACCCCGATGCATCGCGAACGTAGAACGTGTTAATCGCCTTACCGGCTTTCGTTGATACCTCTGCTCTTGTGACAGTCAGACTGTTCTCTCGGAAGATGCGGGTGACATCAGAAAGAAGGCCTACTCTATCTGTTGTGCATAACTCAAGCTTCAAGCCCTGAAACAGGATGGAATAACAAATTAACAATCCGAACAAAGCGAAAAAATTCGAAAAAAAAAATGGCGATAAAAGTCCTCATTTGTTTCAAGGATATGACAGTTCTTCACTCACCTCGGACACTCTTCTCTTGATAGCAGCTTCAAGACATTGAGTTACCCTTTGTCTCTCTGCATCAGACTTAACAGGAGATCCATCTATGTGTCTAATGTAATATTCCTACAAATTCAAATAGAAAAGATAAGCACTACAAATTCAAATAGAAAAGATAAGCAAAAAAACCAATCAATTTCATCTCTATGTTGCTAAAGAGGCAAGAGAAAGCATTTTTACCTGATAGGCTTCTGGCCCTTCAGCAACTACATTGGCATGAAAGACTACATATTGCATATCTGTCAAAGTGCAAACTGTGTCGAATAGAAGTTTTGGTCGATCTTTGCTCCGAATGGTAACGACAGAATAGTCTATGTCGCACCAATTTACGACCTTCACATTTGGTCTTTGTTTCTCATCGACGACATCGTCGTCGGGAAGTTCGTAATCCCTATCTGCAAACATTATCTGATGAAGCCTTCTCTCAATGTGAGTGACTCCATGAGACACCACAGTCTTGGCTCCATTGGACCTCTGGTTGCTCCCCCTTAGTACATTACAGAGTAATCCCTTGATCCTAGACAGCCTCTCAAGATCAGTGATTGCAGAACCGGTTTCCTCGTCCGTGACATGCATCACGGCTGCTGCTCGAGTGTTGTGAGTCCACACCTCGGCGTGCACAACGTTGCATTTGAGGTGAGTGAGGACTGCACTGAGTTCAGAAAGCAATCCTTGTCTATCATTGCCAATTAGCTCAATTGCAGTGTAATCAACAGATGGCTTAACACCCACAGATCTCATGGAAGATGCAAAACAAGAATCTGACTCAAGGGACTGAAAACAGAAACAAAACCAAGTTGAACTAATTGGACTATAAAAAAAATTGACACAAAAGGGAAGTAGAAATGCAAGAGAAAATAGAAACAGCTACATACCCTTTTGATGTAGTCTAAAACCCCTTCATCTGTAACTTTATTTCCATCTTGATCAATGACATTAAAAACTGTTCAAGAAGCCAAAACCATATGAAAATCTTGATGGTGGTGAGAGAATCAGTACAGAAAGAGAGATGGGAGAAGAAACTTACCATCCATGAACCAGCAACCGTCAGAAGAAATATAGGCTTTCGTGATGATGAGATTGAGATCAGTAAGAAATTGAACAACTTCAAGAAGAACCCCATGTTTGTTGGCACTATCTACCTGCAAAAAACGGTTGAAATCAGCATAAACTAACCTAAATGAAAGACTTTAGCAAACCAGAAATCGAGAAAACAAACATACCCTTATTACGGTAGCATCCTTACAGGCTTCGTTGTCAATTACAACCCTGGAAAAAGACAAGAACTTGAAGCTTATTATTCGTAGAGAAGAAAGTTGTGTTGGTTTATCCAGAGGAAGGAATGAAATTATGTACCTGGGTGGATTCATTCTTCTAATTAGCTTCACATATTCATCATCAATATCATGGGAGAAGTTCATGTTGATTGCTGTAATAAGAGAAAAGGGGTAAATAGACCAACAAATAAGAGACGCCTGGACAATTTTGTAAAGCCAATCAGAAACCAAATATCAAAAAGCCATTACTATAGAGAGAGAGGGAGAGAGATCTGAAAATGATAACTAGGAAAAGAAAACAGTGAAAAGAAACCCAAAAAAGAGAACCAGAGAAGATTAAAACCCAAGTCAGAAACAGAAATCGAAGAACAGAGCAAAGGGAAGGGAAACCAAAGAGCAAGAAAACAAAAGAGAACATACCCATTTGCGATCTGTGAGGACTCGTAATCTGCTCAGAATGTTCAAGGTTTCTTCTCAGTTATTTCTGAAACGCCGATACAAGGTGTTGTATCAAAGGGAAAGCAAAGGCATATGTTATATACACAAGCGAAGGGGATTGGGGTCGGGCCTCACTTTGGGAAGGTTTGAAACGATGTGTTTTTAAAAATCAATTCTTTTTTAACCAAAAAAATAATAGTAAAAAAATAAGACCTCCCGACACGATACTCCAAAACCTGCAACTTGAAAAAAGTACAAGAAAACACAACACTTCTTCCCCACTTCCCTCTCTCTCTCTCTCTCTCTCTCTCTCTCTCTCTCTCTCTGTCAACTCCTTTTTTCCGATTATTTATTTATAATGGAGATTTGATCTCCATTATTTGGTCCCTGTCCTTGTGTTTACGCTTCCAATCTCAGTCATTCTGAATCAGTACATTCATATCATACGAGAGAATTTCCCCCAAAAGAACAGAAGCCCAAAAATAAACCAATAGGACGCCGGGCGGCGGAGAACGCCGGCCCCGGAACCTGCTATGGGTTTAAAGCCTGAAGTAGCTCCAAGGTCCGTGGAGCTGAAGCGAATCCGACCGGCGCCAAATCTCCCCACAACTTACGGCCAATTTATTGCGTGTATTCTATTAACGCTCATTACTTTTTTATGATTTTTTTTTTTTGACAAAATGAGTTATAACTGAGGATGCAATAATTACTAATTAGTATTAGTATTAGTTGTAGCTGATTGAAAATGTGTAACGTGCTGACAGCTTCCATAATTCCATTTCATTTAATCACACGAGTTAGGTTAATACTCTAGTTTTTTCCATTACACATTTAACAAGCTTTAAAAATGGTCCTTTAAGTTAATTAGATAGCAACAAACAAACACCCAATAAAAGAAGATGAAGGGAAAGAGGAAGAAGAGGAAGGGATGGTTAGAGAGAAGGAAAAGAGGGAACTGGAAGAGAGAAAGGAAAGGATGGGAAAAAGTAAAAAAAGGAAAAAGTCATGTAATCTAAAAAATAAAATAAAATTCAAAAAATGGTCACCTCGTTTAAAATTTTTCACCCTGACCTACGTATCATGTTTTAGTTAATTTGGTGATCATTTTGAATCATTTTCCAAATTTCATATACCATGTCTTTTTTAAATTTCAGCTACTAAATAAACATTAACTACAAATTTTATAGACCAAAAAAATATAATACCTTTTAAATTAAATTCAACCTTAAATCAAGACCATAAATTTAATATTACATTACATATATATAAAGATGAAAATTTGAACTGAGATTTTCTTTATCCATGAAATTTTGAATTTTATAATATTTTAATATCGATGGGGAAGCACTTTACATTTTTATCTTTTAAAAATTTTCATTTCATCACAGGGAGAGTTCTAACTTCTACATCAACTTGGCCATACTGTTGTCTCGAGGGGATGATAAAATTGATTGTTGGGCATTGAGTTTTCTCACCTAGAACCCTCAACCCCTATTGTAGTTAGTACCATTTTGTCATCAACATCACAATCCTTATTAATAGTCAATCCACGAAGTTAAAAAGTTAATTTATATTTAAAATATGTTTAAAATATTAAATTTACTTAACCTATTGACTTCTATTTTTCAATACCCTACCCATGATTTAAAATAAAATCAAAGTAAGATATAATTTAACTCCCAACCGTGTTTCCTCCACATTTTAGACTTCATATTGGAGTACACTTAAGAGACAATATAAAAAATATATATTATAAAGATTAATTCTATCCTCGCTGATTTAACTAACTTGTTTGATTAATGGGCATTCATTACAAAAGGTTGTGCATGCGGCATGCCCTATTAATTTAATTTAACGAACCCAATAATAATTTCCCATTAATGAACCTCCACAAACTTCATTTATGTCTCCCCACAAAGAAAAATCAAAGCAAATCAATAGACACCCACACACACATTCAACCCCTGGCAAAGAGTGAGTAGGACTAGAAGAAGGAACAGCCGAAATACAGCTCGGATGGCAATAAAAATGAGACAGAAGCCAACCAGCTACCAGAATTTCAGTGTCTAATTGAACCCATTCAACTTAATCTACACAGTGTATTGCTTTAATAGGACAATAAGATAATTGTTTATGGAGGGGATGTTAGGTTGGTGGTTTAAATTCTAATTTTGTTTTGGTATTTTTCGTTTTTGTCATCTTGATTCTCTCGTAGTCTCAAAATGTCTCGTCTTTAATTTTTAAAAGTGATTATTTTAATATATTTAATTAATTTTTATTTAATTCGTTCGTTTGTATCACAATGTCTACACAACACTACAATAAATAAGTTTTTTGAAATATTTATATATGCAGTGTTAACAAAGATCAAGATTATTGGCTAAAAAGAGAACCTGAATGAACAAAGTTGAAAGTAAAGAGATTAGAATAGATGTTTTAAAGAAACGTGGAATAAATATTAACAAAAGCCAAAATCAATCTACAGTGATTAAAATAGACAAAAACTGCAGAAAAAAGAACTAAAATAAGATTTAAAACTAGCTTAGCAGTGGAAAAAGAAACACTAACCTGTTGGTTTGGTTTTGGCATTTTGTCAAACACTTGGTGCGCGCGCACACACGCGTGTCTTAAGGCGACTGCCTGCCGTGCCTCGTGGTGCTGTCACATGGTCCCTGATTCTGAGCCCCCAACGCAACCCAATTCTACAATGCCTGGTTGTGCGATTTAGGGCAGCCTCTGTCCTCTGCGCACGTAGCTGCTGCCAGTTTAAATTTCAGGCTATTAATGGCGTAGGCGAGTGGGCCTGATAAGCTTATTAGTAATGAGTCATGGCTGAGTTCGCCAAAAAAGAAAAGAACTGCTGCGTGTTGTTGTGGCGTACCTTTTTCTTCACAATCGCCAGAAAACGCTGGTTTTGCCTCTCCATTTCCTGCTAAACATTGTGTTTCGATTGATAATGGATCTTCTTCGGGTTTTGCGATGGAGAATCCGATTGCTTTTGGGGTACGGATGTAAGTAATTGAAAAGACAAGGCGTTCCACCATTTCTATATCAACATCAACCTCCCCTGTTCAAGTTCATCTTGAGATTTTCAGATTCAAGAAATTGAAAATTAATAATATATATATTACTCTTAAAATTAGTAAAATTTCAATTTAGTAATTAAACATTATATAGTTAAATAAATGTAATTTACAAGTATATTACTAAAACATTATATAGTTAAATAAATGTAATTTACAAGTATATTAGATTGTTAGTTCGAATTCTCATATTTACATGTTTATTCTGCAAAGATTTCTTTTTTCATAACCTAAACTAAATTCATTATTATGATTTCTTTTCAAAAAAAAAAAATCTAAATTTTTAAATATTATATGATTAAAATAATATCTTGATTTTTATATTTTTCAATTTTAGTTCATGTATTTTTAATTTTTTTTAAATTTTTTACTCGATTTTTACAAAATCTTAACATAGATTCTACGCACAACCTAAATTTGATTTATGAACTTGAAAATAAATTAAAATATTTTAGTSGTTATATTTTGTTAGTTTTTCATGAATCATTTAACATGAACTTTATATGACATTTGTTTTGTGCAGTTACATATTAAATAGATGTGTTCATGGACTAGGATTTGAAGTAAACATATAACTGGCTCAAACGTGGAGTTTTGAAACAAATCAAGATTTCTATTAAAATAATTAGTAAAAAATAAAAAAACAAATACTCATATAACTCTGTGTGCAAATTTTATGAACTAAAGAAACTATATTTTTAGTCCATGTAAAAACTAATATTTAGGTAGAAAATCTAAAAATATTTATCAATTTGAACGTAATTCAATTGATTAAAGTATATATTATCACAGAAAAAATTGTAGTTTCAAATTCATATGGTGAAATATTGTTGAGTGAAAAAATATATCTTTTTAATATTCAAATAAATAATAAGATGAAATTAATGTGAAAATTCCATGAACTAAAGTAAAGATATAAACTTAGTAGGGGTGACAATTTAGTATGGTCCTCTCAATTTAAAAAGAAACACAACTACTCTTTTTCATTTGGTCCCTTTCTATTATTAAATCAACCAAGAAAAAAAAAAGATTTTTCTACCCATATTATATTCAATAACATTGCTTCAAAAATTAGAGCAAAAACTAGGTATATATATATATATATTAATAAATAAAATTAGCTTGAATTTGACCAACTTAAACCATAAAGTAACCTTATCACCCAACTTTTAAACAAAATTTGAATATTATACCTAAGGTTTTTTAATTTAAGGAATTAAAAAAAAATCATCAAAGTTCAAGAACAACAAATTTCAAAGGTCAAACGTTTTTTAAAAAATACAAATGTAATGAAAAATGGTTCAAGATTTAAGTGAAACAACCTCCTCACATTTATTTCAAATATATGAAAGTAATTTACATAAAGCATAAAATAAATATGTATTTTTTAAATATAATAAAAAGTTTAAAATTAAGAAACATAACACAATCTTCAAATTTAAATAATTATAAAACACAATCTTCAAATTTAAATAATTATAAAACACAATCTTAATCTAGCTGTCTCCCTCCTACATCTTCACTCTTATCTTTTCTTTTTCTTTTTATTTTCCTTTCTTTCATTTTTCTTTCTCCTTTCCATATCATTATTTATAAATGTAAATATTTCATTACTATATTATTTGACATAATTTGTTCACTCAGTCTTTTTTTTTAATTAAATTTATCTTTGATATATCATTATTATCATCTATATAGTACAAAATAAAGTTATAAAATTGTCAAAAATCCATCCTAAATTATCTAATATCCAACCAGTTAAACATTCAAAATATCACCACATAACGTATCAGTATAGAKGTACAAAAAAACTTTAAAAAGGTACAACGAGGAAAAATAATAATTTCATTGGAAATATTACATGCAACATAAAAGTAAACTAAAAAAAAAGAATCCACTCACAAAACAACATGAGATATTGATTTGATCACTTATTTAAGTTTAAAATTCTATATAATAAAACTAAAGTTTGAAGTTGAATTCACTCTTTTCTATGAGACTAGAATACAAATATACTACCCTACATTTAGTCATCTTGCTAATTACTTAATAACCTCTTATTATTTTTATTTTATTAATTATTTAGCTAAATTTTCTCTTGCCAAGTCATCAAAAAGCAATCCAACAAATTCAAAACTGAAAAATCAAAAATGAAAAATATCTTCTTCCATTATACTTTTACATTTTTTTTAACAAGTTGATCGTGATTAATATTGTATTAGACTTTTCTCCACAGAAAAAATCGTCTCTCGTGCTTCAATAAAATACCAAAAAAGTAATTAAATTCAGAATTAATTGAGATTAGTGGACGCTAAGTCTACGTCTAGGGCAATAGGGCATACGTAGCAGCGGGCCCACCACAGAGTCAACGGTCAAAGAATTTGTCCAAAAAGCCGAGCGTTTCGATATTCCCACGCGCTCACGTGGGGATCTGCAGGTAGCGCACGTGACTTTCGCCAGAATACAACGGAGGGGCGGCGGCTCCGGCTGATAGCGACGTTGCGGGGATTGGGGAGGCCTTTTGGAGTTTGGGAAGGGTCGTTTTGGTACATTGTCATTGCCACGTCATCAGTCCACGTAAGTATATCAACATGGGACCACGGGCCCACTTTTTTTTTTTTTTCTCTTTCCTTGACTGGTGTAAAAGCACATTTGACGTTTAAATTGATCGTAAAGTAACAATTTAATTACAAATTTCTTAGTGTAAGACTTTAGTTATATAGTTTCAAATTAATAATAATTTAATTTTTAAACTTTAGTAAGTATAATTAAGTCTCTGTCGTTTATATCTCAGAAAAAAAAAGTTTATGTCATTTAAAACTTGTAACAATTTAATTGTTTCTGTGATAAATTTTATCTAAATTAAGTATAGACTTTTATCATATAACTATTAATTTATAAACACATTTGATTTATTAGTTTATCGATCTGTATATCTAAGAAATTTAACAAATTCTTTTATGAAATAGACTAAATATTTACCATCTTTAAATTACAAAGACTAAATTATTATTAACGACTGAACTGTTATTTCAATGTTATTTTTGAACGCCTTTTTTTTAGTTAAAATATATTATTATTACGAGGGTTTCGAGTTTCCATGCGCACGTTCTCAGCCCCCGTTTTAAGGAATGCCATGCATGTGTGTCTAATTCTGACTGGGTTTCTGTGCATGCCCAAATCTTTTCTTTTTGGGGGATTTTGTAATTATTTTGTAATTATAAATATTTACAGAAAAAAAAAAGTTAAATTTTCAATATAGTTATAAAGCTAATAAGTTCAAGACTAGGACGGGCCCTGGATTTYGAGGGTTTGTCCTTAACTTTCAGCCTTCAAGTTTTGTTTAAAATGTCAAAAACTTAAAAAAAATATACTAATAAATTTTTAAACTAAAATTATTAATTTTGTATTTAATAAACTTTTAAAGCTCATTAAATTATTAGATACAAAATTGAAAATTTAAAAACTTATTATACATATTCTAAAATCTAGAGTCTAAAAAAATAAAAAATTTAAAATTTAAAAACTTATAAAAAAATGACTTTAATATCGTAGTCATTATGACCATTTCTATTACATTGTTTAAAAGTGGATAACAAAAAGTTGTCTCATAAAAGATGTGTGATTCCTAATTTCAATTAGATTTTGCAAAACTAAAAATAGTAAAACCTCAMTATTACACTTAATTGAAATTCATGTTTGATTAGTTTTTTATTTTTGTTTTTCTGCAAAATATTTGGTTGGTAATTGGCTGTCTACAATTTTGGAGGTACATTTTAGGAGCCTAACTTAAGTAAAACACATGTTAAATATGAACTCGAATTTAATTCAACCATAAATTTTCACCAACTTTTTTTTTATAAGTAAACTTTCCATTATTACGAATGAAAAAGTTAACATGATATAGTTTTAAATATTGTGTCATTTTGATTTCAAATTCAACACAAAAATGAACTCTAGTCTAAACATTAAAAGTTTTTAACCCACCAACCACACATTATTTAGTGATTCAATATAATTTAGTAATTAAAATATTTTTACTTAATTTAAAAAATTACAGTTTCAAATCTTCRTTCCATAAACAACATTGTTTCTTTGACATGTCTATAACTAGAAATTTTTTTTAAAGATCGAGCATTACTCTGATGATTCATGATAACTTGACGAATAGCATGACCAACATGCCGTTGATTCAAAGTTCAAATTTCTACCCTATCAACTTTCGATGGTGGGATAATAACTTAGTATGATGGTCATGAATTACGAGTAACGATAAATTAGAATTCGATTTCAGAGAAGGAATATGAAAAAAAAAAAGTAGCTACAACTAGCACACAAATTACCCGATTGTGAGCGTGACACATCTGACGTCATTAACCCCTTTTTATTGAATTCGTATATTTGAATATCAACCAACTCTKTGTTCATAAGAGTTGATCACTACTCTCATTTTTCTCCAAAATAAAATAATAAATAATTTTTTAAAAATTAAAAAAAATGAAGAGACAACGGGGCATGTTTGCTGCAGCCGTCCCCTGCTTCCTCATGTTCTGGTCTCCCAACCAGCAGATTGGCCCACAAAACCTACTACCTTCGGCCCAAATTTATTGTCCAAATCCTGCTGACGTAGACTTATTCATTCAAAGACTAAAGACYGACCACTATTAAATTTTTGACAAGAAAGAAATACAAAAAATATATATTATTCATGTATTTTAGAAAACGAAAGACTTGATATTTCCATCGTTTGCTAGAATTTGAAACTTTAAAAGATAGAATTATACCGCCAAAATATTTTGTTATAAACTTTCATTTTTATTAAAATTAAAAATATATTATAAATCATATAATACTGTAAAATATAATTCTACAAAATCTATGGAAATAAATAAATTAATATTACTTTAGATTGACTCTATAAATATTTAGTTGACACACCGTTAGTTTACAAATATATTATTAAACACTTTGAACAATTTTTTAAATTGAGATTCAATTTCTAAATTTGCTACCAAACATATATCAAAAATATTGAAAACATATAATACAACACTATTTTTCATTGAATCATTTGTTTCAAATTTCTATTTTTTCTATTTTTTGATAACCAATCAAACGCACACTAAAGAACCCCCTCCTCACCTAAATATTTTTCCTTTTTGCCTGAAAAATAAAGGAAAAAAAAAAGAAAATTATTTATATATAAAGATAATTTCTTGCAGATCATAACTTAGCACTATGGCATACTTGCAGGATGCTCTTTGCTCACTTAAGCTGGAATGCCCTCGTTTTCATTTTCAAATCAAAACATTCTTTCTGAACAGAAGACATCAAAGTACGACTCCGCAAATGTTAATATCGGCTACTAACAGCAATTTTGCATGCATGGAGCAATGCGAGAAGCAAAAAATTACTTTAAAGCTCGATATCGGGCACGCCCATCAAGAATGAACTGGATCATCTGATCCAAGTAGGGGCATGTATTCTGATCCTCTAACATGAACACTGAAGCAAGCTGCAAAAGTTGAATACAAGTTAAGATGTAGGGAATTAAAGCAAGAAGGACTAGTTAGATCAACAAAGTTCTGATATTAAATCCAACTACACCACCATAATGCATCACGAGGAATTTAATTTTTCCATCTCTTAAGAATTAAATTGGCTGCATGAATTATTTTAAGGATTAAATACTATCTGGTCCCTATGCTTTCGACTTTGTTTCATTTTAGTCCCTATACTTATAAACTTTTGTTCATTTTAGTCATTGTATTTTAAAAACGTCTACTTTGATCTATGTACTTTTAAAAGTAATCAATTTGATACCTGTTTGTAAAAGTTTTAACGCAAATTTTATTCACAATAGAAATCCTTCTATACAAGTTTATTTCTACGTCCCAAAGAATTCACAATAGAAATGYTTCTATACAAATTTATTTCTACATCCCAAAGAATTTAGAGGGTGAGATGCCATGCTAAAATTATAATCAAAAGAAATTAAATAAAAATGAAAATGAATGGACAAAATGATCACTTTTTTAAAGTACAGAAATCAAAATAAACATTTTGAGAGTACATACAAAAATAAACTAAACTAAAGGCGAGAGTACAAGGACCAAATTAGTATTTAAATAGCATAGAAAAGTTAAATTGACTGTATTAAGAGAACACAAAGTAAAATGACTCGGAACAATCAAATATTTGCTACAAATCCTTCCCCCCTACACAAGTAGACGAAAAAAATAAAACTAATTGCATAAATAYGAAAGATATGAATGGCTATTTCAGATTTAGTGTTTCCCTAGTCTCGGGCTTAAATTGAGTAAACCACAACAAACAAAATTTACTGTTGTCTCTAGTGGATTAATTGTTTTTGAGCCCAGTGGCCGTCGAAACATGGCAATAACAGACATACTGCCCATAGCTGCCTGAATGAGAAAAATTCTTATTGGGGGCAATAACAACATACTGCCTATTGCATAAGGGTTGTTTTTTGTGGTGGGCAAACCTTTTAGCAGTTTTTTGGAAGCTGTGAATTGAGAGGAACAATAAATTTTTTTTAAGAGGGTGTAGAGTGTTCCTGGGAAGAGGTTTGGAAACTGGTTAGATATCACGTATCTCTTTGGACTGTTGTGTCCCAATCTGTAATGGATAGATCTTGCTTGATTGGAGCATGTTCCTTTAGTTTGATTCTTTTTATTGGACCTTTTTTTTTGTATGCCCCCTTGTTTAGCACAATTTTATCCAAAAGATCTTGCTTGATTGGAGCCCATTCCTTCTAGTTTTACTCTTTTTGTTGGGCTATTTTTTTTTTTTTTTGTATATCCTCCTGTTTCTCTTTCATTTATCTTAATGAAAGCTCAGTTTTTTTATCCAAAAAGAAAATTTTTCATTGGCTCTTCACAAGTTCCTATCACTACTAGCTAGAAACATCCCGATCAGTGTGTTTCTGACTTTCAATGCATAAATGAAGTAGGTCATGCTTAGAATGTAAGACAGATGAACGTTTTGAGTAATACCATTTTCTATCTTCATCACACTTTGAAGCATCGTATCCATCTTCATTTTCATATCTGAATTATCATCCATATGAGGGACTACAAGAGCGAGCTCACGATAGATGTCACGAACAAAGCTGCATATATTCTTGGCAAAATCAAGTTCACCATCTGATATTCGACCAATTGCCAATCGCATCAGTTCTCCAGTCAAGTCTGCAAGCTGTATAGAGCATTAGGCACCTCTTCTTTGAAAACAGGGGTTTCACATGCACTAAGAAAACCACTTTTAAAATCATTTGTTTATCTATTTTCATTAGTAGTATAATCACATGGATTGTAGACCCACACCTGTTACATGTCAATGAGTATGCGACTAATCTCTAAGCATATAATGTATTTTTGTCCTATTCATTTTAACAAAATAATGATATGAGAAGAAACAGAACTTAGATGCTAACCCCCAAGAGGTAGTCGAGATTGTTAATTTGCAAAGGCTCAAGTGCCGGATCACTAAGGGGTAACAATGTATCATTTATCTCGTCAAGATTCAAAAGAGTTCCTGTTTTGCAGAATTTACAGAAGGTTGCGGCTTCAACATATTCTTGCACCTGCAGAAGCCAAAGCTAAACAGATCAACTTGTCGTTTAACTTTGGCCTGAAAAGGTAAAAGACAGAAAGGTCACCCCTGGTGAGTATGCCCGCCTTAGCTTCCAGAAATCGGTCCCCTGTAACTCTTTTATAAGTCGGGACACATGCCGCGATGTCACATCTGCCAAGTCCTTTTCTGCCTTTTCCAGAACCTCCTCTTTGTTCTGTTTACTGATTCTGTTTTAATAATCATACTACTAAGCCACAATCCATGTACTTATAATTATATTTATCATGAGTTCATAACAACAACTAGACCGTGAAAGTGCCWAAATGGATAAAAGTGAAAAATTATACAGGTTGATGTGCTCAACAGTTCAAGAAAAAAAGTTATTGAAAAAAGTTTAAGTTCAATATTAAGAACAAGTAGATAATAACAGTGGCAAAGTCGTACCTATGAACTTGAAAAATGACCTTTTTGCTGTTCATTGTGATATCACGGCTTGCTTTCACCACTCTTTCCCGCTTATCATTCTGTATATTTAGTCAGTCGAATAGATGAACCAAAAAAGTTGAAAAGAAGTTTAAATAAATTGATGCAAACTCATGCACTGCATCGAACTGTTCCAATCCCAATCCTACAACTAACAACCCAGAAGAGCTCTTGATGCTGAATAATCGACTGAATGGCTTCATAGCAAGTAGCACAAAGTTAGAAATCTCGGCCTAATCAACTGCATTGCATTTTAATGGCAGCATTTCAAGGCAATAAGCTAGTTATCTGACCAAAAGAACAAAATAAAGCCACGCATAATAACACTATCCAAACCCAAAATTGATTTTCCAGCAACAATTTCAAACAGACTCCTCCGTGAGCAAACTACAGTCAGAAAAATGGAAACCCCATTTCGGAATCTAGGGATAGAAGGTTCGGCTCACCGGTGTATCTTTTCATACGAGAGCTATGGTGAAAATTATGAACTTACGAGGTTATTAAGGTAGTCGGCATATTTAGAGAAGGCGTCGTTCATGGAGGATTGAGTGGATAATGTCCTCGCCCTTTTCGGTGAGCTCTGCAACGCTGGCCCTGCAACTGAACAATTTTGAAACTGTAACATCAAACCCAGAAGAATGGAAAATTGAAAATAGCTACTGCTTTTAATAGCTCAAAACCCTAATTGGGAGAGAGAGAGAGAAATACTTTTATGGAGGAGCTGGGGCTTTGGTTTGGAAGCCATGAGAGTGAGAGCGGCCTTCTGAATTCCGGTAGCATACAACATCTGTCCCTCCGGAATCAGAAGTTGGTAAATTTGGGAAATTTTTATTTTTATTGTCTGAATTTTAATTCTAAACTTTTTAACCTAAATGATCAAACTATCAAATAAATCATAAAATTCAACCCAAGCCCAACACATCTCTCAAAATCAAGTTATATGAAAATGAAATTTCTTTTAACATCAAAAATGTTCAAATCCAACCACACCTAGGTCACTCTAAACAAATAAATAAAGGTACACAAAATATATATATATATACATATACATATATTATAAATCTATATACTTTTAAAGTATCTATTTTAATCGATAGACTTTCAACTTTTGTTTATTTTAATTTTAAAAAATGAAAAAAAAACTTTTGTTTTTTTTAATCCTATTTTATAAACTGGTTTTATCTTTGTATTTTAAAAAAAGTAACTATTTTGGTATGTTCAATTTCATTTTCTTGCTAAACTAAGCAGTAATTTRAATATATCTTCAATCAAGAGGTTGTGAGTTCGATCTCTCACTCCCACATGTTGAAATAAAAAAATCATTTTCTTTCCATCATCATTTTAGCATAACTTTACTAACTTTAAAAAATGTAGTCATAAATTTGTATTAAAAAATCTTAAAATTTTGTAAATAGWGATCAAAATATTCACAATCGAAACTAAAAATACAGCCTAAATTAATATAAACATGACGAGTCCTTAAAGAATCGAACTTACAGATCGAAAAGTAAAGAATGGGGTCGAAGAAGAAAGTTGCATAGTTACTCGAGGCACTTCACTTTGGGAGAAAAGTCTAGTAGTACAGAAATACCATACTCCATTTTATTTATACAATAAATTTAAAGAACATCCTCACACTATTATGAATATAAYGCGGACCAAAGAGTGAATGGAAGAGAGTATGGTACTCCCATAGTATCGAAAATTTTCTCATTCGAGTGAAAGACAACATTTTGGAACTTGTTTATTATACCCTCCTTAAATATTATTCATCCGTCTAAACATTAAAATGGAACGGTAACAAGTAAAATGCATCATGTAAACAATTAAACAAATGGACTTTATCCTTGAGGTTCTATTATTTCTTTCTTTTAAAAGGAATCGTAAGCAGACACTAGTAGCACAAGACCCAAGAACTCAAACAATCTTTCAAAAATTTCTTGGTGTCCTCTGAAAATACATAGTTAACTGTATTGGATGATTACGTTACATTGAGGCAACTAATATTTCGAGGCAACTAATAAATTGAAATAACAGATATTTTAAGGTAAATTTTATATTGTGAATCATGATATCAAGGTAACTAACTTTCAACATAATCAAATTAAAGCAACTAACATTTTACACATTCATCSCATCCGTCATATCTAGACCTCAATATTTTAGGAGAACCAAGATATGAATGCAATAAATATTTAAAAGCAAACCATTATTTYAAGCTAACCAATATATCAACCAACCTTATTCTAGGATAACCAAATATTAAAGAAAATCACTATTTCAGAACAACTAATAACTAACTTATATATCCAAGACAATAAATATTTCAAAACAACCATTCATCTGGGACAACTTCAACAAATGTTTCAAACCAACCACTATTTTGTGACCATTGACATTATCAAAGCAAACCATTATTGAAAGGCGTCAAACATTTAAGAACACCCGAAATGATTGAGACAACCACGGTTTGAAGCCAGCAAATATTTCRGACCATCAATTGTTTTGAGGCAACCAATGTTTTTGGAGAACGAACATATCAAGGCAATTTTTATTTCGAGACAACCGATTGTACAGAGACAACCACTATTTCAAGACAACTTTGATTTCAGGACAACCATTATTTAAAGGCAACAAATATTTSAAGACAACTTTTATTTCGGGACAACCGATCGTATARAGGCAACCATTATTTCAAGACAACTTTGATTCGGGACAACCATTATTTAAAGGTAACAAATAATTCAGATCATATATATTATGAGGCAAACCAATRTTTGTGACATATCATGGAAACTTCCATTTTGGGACAACTAAAAATATCAAGCCAACAATTATTTCAAGACATCAAATATTTAAAAGCAACCGTCATTTTGAGGCGACCAACATCTCAAGGCAACCAATTTTTCGAGCTAACCATATTTTGACGCACAAATATTTCCGGATTCACAACTTTAATAATTTC